ATTATTTTCCTTTGGGTTTCACCCGAGAAGCAAGGGGGTAACTTATAATCAACATCTTTCTTAAAATCTCTCTCATCATGGTAAGGAATAGAGTTTTGAAAGCCCTAAAATTATATAAGGGTCAGCAGCAAGTAAGGTGAGTGAAGCAATTTCTTAATTAAGCATGAAACAAAATGGATTTAAACGCATTCTTTAGCACAGATATGTCCAAAACAAACAAACCCAGGCAAAAATCTGAGATCATCTGTTTTCTCACAAACTCAGCAAGATTTTTCCAACATGTTTTTAACTATGGAATACTTATTATGAAAAAGAAACTGAGAACCACATCCTAGTTTATAAACAATTACTGAAATGCTATTAGGGGACAAACATATGGACATATGCTTGTTTTATTAACAGATCATAAACCAGAAAAACAGATTTTCATTAGCTTTCTAACTTTACATCTTCCCACTGTTATCACCCATCCATTACGTACATGGCAACAATGGCTAGAAATCTATTCGTTAAAAGATTGCAACAGTTTCTTAGAGGGTCAAAACAGATAGCAGTGACCAAGGATTTGAAGGGAAAAGAAGGAGGCTCACTTTGTAGCAGTCATTTGCAATTAATTGCAAAAGGCTAAAGGACTCTCCTGAGGTTTCCATTTTTAGGTACAGCTCCCAAGCTAGTCGTGGCTTCTTATTCATAATGTCTGCAATAAAAAGAATGCCAAAACTAGTCAAGACATGTTATTACACAGCGTTTGTAAAAGTGCTAAGCATTCTAATCAGCAGTACAGTTCATTATTTTTGCTGTTCAGTTAAAATTAGAAGCTATGTGACCACACCTATCACCTCCATTTTATTATGAATGAGTAAACTTGAAGTGCTATCTCAGATTAACTCAGAAGTAACGACAGGTTACCCACCTTTAATTGTAGTTCTTCGAGTGAACCTTTGTGATTCACACCCTGGGTGATCCGCGCCTGCGCAGAGCCTCATCGGAAAGTTCTAGAACTTCTGTGGTAGCAAAAAAACATATTAGAATAAGGCCCCTCCCCCATTGTATAAGTACCTTGGTGTGAAGGCTCCCCCTTCAGTCACTCAGAAGTAACGACAGGTTACCCACCTTTAATTGTAGTTCTTCGAGTGAACCTTTGTGATTCACACCCTGGGTGATCCGCGCCTGCGCAGAGCCTCATCGGAAAGTTCTAGAACTTCTGTGGTAGCAAAAAAACATATTAGAATAAGGCCCCTCCCCCATTGTATAAGTACCTTGGTGTGAAGGCTCCCCCTTCAGTCATGTCAACCAGTTCTAGAACTTCTGCGGTAGCAAAAAAAATATTAGAATAAGCCCCCTCCCCCACTGTATAAGTACCTTGGGGCGAAGGCTCCCCCTTCAGTCATGTCAACCGCCACTACATTAAGCAGAATGGCGTGGGGAGGACGGGCAGGATGTGTGAATCACAGAGGTCCACTTGAAGAAGTACAATTACAGGTGGGTAACCTGTCGTTTTTCTTCGTGGCCTCTGTGAATCACACCCTGGGTGACTAATAAGCTGTCTTACCCGGAGGCAGGGTGTCACGCCAAAGTAGAGGCTAGAACAGCACGTCCAAAGGCCGCATCAGACTTTTGCCGGAGATCAAGTCTATAATGTCAAGTGAAAGTGGAGAGCTGTGTCCAGGTGGCAGGGATGCAGAAGTCTGGAAGAGGTACGCTGTGTAGGAATGCTGTAGAGGTTGCCACTGCTCTGGTGGAGTGAGGACGAATCACCTTCGGGACTGGTCTGTGTGCCAGCTGAGGTGAATGGTTGAAATGACCCATCTAGATATAGTTTGAGACGTCACCTGGCGACCTTTATAGGTGGTTGGTGACTTATGAAACTCGAGGTGAACACCTGAAAGGTTGGGTGCCTTCAACGTAAAAGGCAAGGCCTCACCTAATGTCTAAAGTATGGAAGAGTCTTTCTTGCGTTGTGGATGGTGATGGGAAGAAGGAAGGAAAAACGGCTGAGAGAGACGGAATTGAGATACGACTTTGGGGAGGAAAGAAATATCTATAGATAATTTGACTTTGTCCGGAAAAAACTGTAAATAAGGATAGTCGTGCCATAAGGTTGCTAACTTACTAGCTCATTGAGCCGAGGTGATGGCAACGAGGGAAACGGTTTTAAAGTAGCTGTAAATCAGTTGAAGCTAAAGATTCAAAAGGAGCTTTAGTAAGTTGTTGCAGTACTAGTGTTAGTGACCACTGCGGGGAAGGCGGGCGGGTATTTGGGTAGATGTGAGATAGACCCTTAAGAAAATGTATCAATGTTGGATGTTTGACGAAATCAGCTGCTGGAGAGTTAGGGGGTTGATAAGAAACTATGGCAGCAAGATAACCTTTCAAGGAAGAGAGGGAAAGGCTGCTAGACTTGAGATGAAGCAAAAATATAGTACAGCAGCAAGTGACGAGTTGATAGAAGGCAATGAAGAAGCTTCAGTGAAAGTTTAGAATCTGTTCAATTTATACATGTAAGCCTTTCTAGTGGAGGGCTTCGTTGATTGACAGAGGACGTTCATTAGCGAGGCAGAATCCTCGATGCTGCCAGGTGCAGAACAGGCAACTCTGGGTGGAGTACTTGGGCGTTGTTCTGTGTGAGGAGGTGGGGCAGGCGAGGGAGGTGGTGAATATCTGATGAGAGATTGTGAAGGACTGGAACCAGGGTTGTCTTGGCCACCAAGGGGCTATAACGATGGCATTGGGTTTTTCTTGTTGTAGATGGACCACAACCTTGTGGAGAAGCGGGAACAGTGCAAAAAGGTGAGGGTATTGGGCCATCGGCTGATGAATGCATCCCCTTGGGAGTGTTTGCCAGTGCCAGCTCAGGAGCAGCATCGTTTGTACTTCTGATTCACGCGGGAGGCAAAGAGGTCAAGAGTTGGTTTGCCCCATCGTTCGCAACCACGACTGAAGAGATCTCATCTTGAGACGTACATGCTGGACTACTGAAGTCATAGAGGCCATGGTGCCTAGTACACGTTGCACAGTCAAAGTGGGTACCATAGCAAGTGGGGTGAAAACTTGAAGAAATGTGATGAGATTTTCTCTCTTGTCTGGAGGAAGAAAGGCGTGAGCTTGTGTGGGGTCTATGCATGCGCCTATATAATGAATAACCTTTGAAGGTTTTAGATTTGATTTTTGTTCACTGACAGCGAGATCATGATTGCGGAGGAGGGTAAGGGTGAAGTGAATGGCTCGTTGGGCTTTGCGATGGGAATGAGCTACGAGGAGCCATTCATCGATATATGGGAATATGAGAATTTTTTGCAACCTGAGGTAAGCAGCTACCGGTGACATGCATTTGGTGAATACTCTTGGAGCTGTTGCAAGGCCGAAAGGAAGCCTTTTGAATTGGTAGGCTTGTGATCCTAGTTGAAATTGAAGGAATTTTCTGTGTGAGGGATGTATGGAGATATGGACGCATGCGTCTTTGAGATCTATGGCAGTGAAACAGTCGTTTTTCTGGAGTAAAGGCAGAACTGATTCGAGGGTGGACAATCAGATGTTACAAAATAAGATGTCAGGATATTGTAATTTTTGTAGGCCTGAACCTGGATTAAGTATGATATTAATCAGCTTCCATAATGAACAGATGTGTGACTGCTGAGTCACTGTGACATAGAAGAGGATGATGCAATGTCTGAAGAAGAGATGACACCCAGGTAGAGAAGATGATGTAATGTGTCCAGTGATTGGACAGAAAAGTTCTGTAAATGTATATAAGAGAACAGTGTGTACATAATGTATTCTTCTCCTTCTATCACTTGCTGCTATCCTCTATGGCAGTTTGTCTGATGATTGCCTGCTACTCTGAAGTGCTGGCAGTCTGTGTATTTGTATATTTTGTATAATACACGTGTCTTGCTATAGAAGAAGAACGTGTCTGTGTCTTCAATCAATTAACTCTGCATATTTTCGCAGCGCGAACCAGACATAAGGTATGGTCTCCAGTTGTTGTTCAGAGTCGACCCTGTCTGGTGAAGCAACTACGGAAGGGCTGCTTGAAAGAATAGTGTTGAGGACTGGGAGGAGAAAACGTTAATCAATCCACTGTGTCATCCTATTTTGGTGACTGGGAACAGAGTTGATGAGAGGGGATTCCGTCATCATTAGAAGGTGAACCAATAGAGATTGATTTGGTGGTTTGTTGAGGCTGCTGAGAGAGGACTGCAGCTTTAGATTTATGTTGTTTAGATCTTTTAGGCAGTGAAGGCTCCGGAACCGAAGAGGCTTCGGTGGACATTTGACGTTTAGTGGAGGGCTTCAATTTCAAGGATTTCGGTATTGAGCACTTTGATTTATGGGTTTTTGAAGTTTTAGATGAAGTGGATAGAGCGTCGGAGTGGGATCGTGCGGTCGATGGAAGTTGTTTTGAGGCTTCAGAAAGATCCATCTCCATCGCTTTGGTTTGTGAGTTGGCCTTACAAGGAGGTTGGGCCATTTTGGTTGGTTGAAGGGATTGTTCCCCAAGACTGAGTTTTAATCTGGATAAGCTAGAGCGGAGGGCTCCGTGCTTGAAGTTCCTACAATGCTGGCAGGAGGACGTCTGGTGTGCCTCTCCCAGACAAACAAAAGCACTTGGTTTGACCGTCAGAAAGTGGTATTTTGTGATCACAGACCACACAGTGTTTGAACAGCCCAAAGGGGGCATGAACAGGAGAAAAATAATTTGAGGGGGGGAAAAGATGATGAGGGGGTGCTGTGGCCAGATGCCGAGTGAGGCAAAAAGGAAAAAGTCTCTGAAGATAATGAGTCTGATTTAAAGGTTTATAGGAAAAAAGATTGATAACAGGAAGGAATCAAGAATAAACTCTCTCTTTACTCACAGAAGTAGAACTATGAGGCTCTCAATGCGGCGGTTGAAAGAAAACTGAAAGGTACTTATATGAGGGGGAGGGGCCTCATTCTAATATGTTTTTTGCTACCACAGAAGCTCTAGAACTTTCCAATGAGGCTCCGCAAAGGCCCTGATCACCCAAAGTGTGATTCACAGAGGCCACGAAGAAGAACCAACATGTCTGAACAGAGCAATGGTCCATTTATAAAGCTTCCACCCAAAACATAAGTCACATCACTTGTCTGTCTTTCAAACAGTACGCTAATAATGAGAATGAAATGCCTATTAAAATATATTCCTAATATTTTTAAGAACCATGCATTAAGGAAGACAAATTCTGCAACCAGGGATAGATTCCACTTAATGATGCCCATGAATTTCACTGTGCCTGGATACAGAAGCTCAAACCTGGTGATCCCCACACTCCAGTTTTCAGCTGCCATTATTGAGGCCATCAGAGAAAGGAGGAGCAGTCAAGCATTCCTCTATCATGCCAAGAAACAGTTCCAGTTTACCACACACACACCTCTAGTTATATCATTGCTAAGGCTGTTAGGAGGCAAAGAAGCAGCCTATGCATTTTGCTTACATATAGCTTAGAACCTGCTGGATTATTACCTATCAGGCAAATACAAAGGTTTTTGTAGAACAGAAGTTTAACACAGTTTGCACATAATTCCAAAATGTTCTCTAATTCCAAGATTTTCACCCTGAGAACAAGGCTTCACAACCTGTTTTACAGTGTTTCTTACGAACTTACATTATATGGTATGTACACCTCCCCAAACAAAGTGTTATATAATATTATTTATATATAGATTATGTATGATACTTTCATAAAGGTTCATCTTCCTCAGTCTGACAAGCTTAATTATGATGGAATTAAGTGCCAAATAGCTTTATTTTGCTCATTAGTCTCTATCTAGATCCTACCGTATACGACCCCACGCTACCTCTGGTATTTAGTATCAGTAAACTAATTAGATCTTCAGACTGCCTCTGAAAGACCAATCTTAGAAGTTAAGGCAGAGCTACTGCTGGAACTAGACATGTATATGTTTTGAAATGTTTACTGCAAAGGAGTTATTTCAATAGCACTTGTCTCAAAAAACATAGTAAAATAAGTTGAAAGATTTTGCAGATGATCTCTAGACATCACCTATTTCCAGTGTACATTTCTTGTTTTATCAAAGGCTGTGGCAAAATGAGCTTTTTACGGGGCATTTGACTATAAGAAAATAACCAGTTACATCTGAAAATTATTTAAACTCGCCCATAAACTTAAATTTAAAAAGAGAACCAAGACTGATGCAATAAGGAAGAATTATCACTCACAGCAGCGAGCTAGCCAGCTGAGGTAAACAAAATCATTCTTGATTTTCTCACTTTGAATCAAGAGAAACACCTTAAAGGGAAAAAGAGAAACAGAAAAAGTACGATTCCGTTTGCATTAAATTTGTTTTGTAGCATGTGTCCTTATGGCAGCACAATACTGAATCTCAGTAAGACAAGCATAGTTGCATAATATGAAGAAGAGTCATGAAAAAGCTATGTAAGAGGAAAGTCAGCATAAAATGGACAGAACAGAAATATAATGGTTTCAGTTATCTACGTATTTCTAACATTTTGAAATACTAAGGGACGTCCGTGACTTGCCTTGCCCGGATAGCAGCAGGTGTTGGTATGCAGGGTAAAGAGGATCTAAGACGGGGTGAGGTAAAAACTAGACAGCAAATACTGGGGTAGGGACAGGGCAATTCTAGAGTGCAAAGTTTAATGAAATACTGTTTTCCTACAGGTTTTTCAGAAAGACACAAACCAGGACTTAAAGATATACATATGTCTGTAATATATTTTTAAAATCACATATTTCCTCTTAGTAATGTTGTTGCAGTGACATTTCTTTTAAGTGCTCAGAAAATGAAATCTCTCTGTAATACAAATTTTATTCCTCAAAAAATACAGTACTGTAGTTGAAATCCTGTTGTGTAACTTCTCCTCCTGCAACAGAATGATGATATCAACAACAGGGGCCAAGTTATGGTAACTGAAAACTTTCTACTTTTGTCTCTTTACTTTTCCAGCTCCCAAGTACTGCCTCTCATCATGTGGGAGCTACAAGATATAAATAACCTTTAATTACTGAAAATCTCCCACTGTCAGTAATGTCCTTTGTTAATGGTAATATCTGGTAATTAAAAATTCCTCTTCCTCCCATGGATTCTATGTGATAAAATGGGTTACAAGACAGTTGGAAGTTCTGTGGGACAAAAATAAGAGGTTTTTAGTTATTGAAAATAACCCATACTAGGGACATCATCATTCCTCCAGTGTCATAGTTAGAACAACAGAATTTCAGCCTTTCTTGAAATATTGTCTCTTTGCAAGGATTAGGCACAGGCATCCTCTGGTGGCTGATTTCAGAGATCTGCCAAGACCAGCAGGTATGAGAGTGACAAGGGATGCGGTGAGAGACGTTAGGACAGTAAAATGACATCCAAATCTCCTCCAGATAAAGATGTGAATGCCTAAAAACCCTGAAAAATGTAAGGGATTTTTTTTTTACTATTTTTGTCACAAAGACAGAAGAAAAACTGGAAACATAGCCAAGAACTATGCGGAGTGATTTTTATAAAAACCTTTTATAAAATTAGTGAACAGTAACATCTATACACACTTCAGGTATATATAACAGGAGAATAGGGGAAGGGGTGGGGCTTCAATATTTGTGGATGACAACTTGCCTTTAACTAACCTTTGTTATAGTCTTCGTGGGGAAAGGAAACAATCACAATATAAGCAAGACTGTTTCTTTCCAAACAATACAATAATTTTTCAAATATAGTTTCTGTTTCCATCTTTTTTCCTAATTCTCAGATGGTAAAAATAAAAATACATGCAATTAAAAGCACAGAGTAAGGAGTTCGCAACTCTTCCTTTCGCATACTACATATTCATAATTCTGCTTATCCAAAACAAAAGCGGTTATATTTGTAAATTTCATAAATATGCTAAATAGTACATTTTCATGCTACCTGAGTTAGGAATAAAGCATCTTATGTTGCTGAGAGAGTAGAACAAATATAGTTTTTGTATAACAATAAGCACTACATATGTTTCAATTTTTCCCATAATTTCATGTGGGGTTTTCTTTGGGAAAATTGTTATTTGCACAGCTTCCAAATTTTTGGAAATTTTATGTATTTTTCCCCAGGTAGGAACAAAACCACAATGCTGACACAAAATTGAGAGTGATGACTGCCCTAAAAAATTCCAACCTCAAGATAGGAGGGGTTTGGACTCAACACAGATTCAACTGGCTCTTTGCCATCTTATTCAGTTAACAGTATGATTACAATATGCCAGGCTAAGTAGGGAAAGAAGAGACCAACACAATGCATCAAGAGCTGTACACTAGCAGGTAGTGCTCAAACAGTATAATCAGTCTGTTACAGTTAATAATGTTTTCCTAGCCGTTTTCTTCCCCTTTAGTCTTTTTATCTTACCTTACTCATTAGCTTTCAAAGAAAACTATTCAGACACGGAAGACACGGAAGAAATATTTCCCTCTTTCATCTATGATGTTTTAAAGAAGCACAAACATACCTCTTCAGCTTCAGTGGTATTGCCAGTGGCAGCTTTGGCTTGGGCATAATTGAAATTAAAAGTGTCATCATTGTAGAAGTAACTCTGTAAAATATATCATGCACCAATCAATCAATCAACCTATCTATCAAATCACATACACATGTGAAATTCAGTGGTGTACTCTGCTATCCAACATCAGAAGAATTGGGGTTTCCTTTCCCTCCCCTTCTGCTGCAACCTCATATGGTGTCTAGAAGGCTGCTCCAGAGGGATTTGCAACCATTCTGCAAAAATGAGTTCATAGAATATACACAGAGCTGAAGGAAAAAAGGAAGATTATCAGTTATAACAGAAATAATGGGATCTAGCAAAAGTTCGCCATTGGGTTCTGGCCACATTTTTTAAAAACAGGCAGTACACCTCAAAATTCTAGATAGCCTAGTGCGACAAGGTATGGCAGTGGGGAATCAAACCTTTTACAAATAGTAGTAAAACATTTTAATTGCATTTGGGATTGAGCAGATAACTGAAACATTCTATGCAATTATTTACAGTGGTGCCTCGCAAGACGATTGCCTCGCTGGATGAAAAACTCGCTAGACGAATGGGTCCGGCGTGGGTTTTGGTGCCTCACAAGATGATTGTTCCTATGGCCCTGCTTCGCAAGACAAAGCCCCAGGAGGCTTCTGAAAGTGGTGCTTTGCCGAAGGGTGGGCGGTGTGTGTGTGCTCTTCTCCGCTCCCGCACCCCCCCGCCTCACAACTGATTGGAACAGGGTGTCAAAAGGCTTCTGCAGGCTTTCCCAGCAGGTAAACAGGCAGTAGAAATGCACCCAGGAAAGCCTTTGAAAGCAGCACTTTGCTGCGGGGATGGGTGGGTGGCAGGGGCAGGCCCCCCCACCCCACGGCAAAGCAGCACTTTCAGAAGCCTCCCGGGGCTTGTTCAGCAGTGGAAAAGCACCCAGGAGACTTCTGAAAGTGGCGCTTTGCCATGGGGTTGCGGGGGGGCCTACCCCTGCCTCCCACCCCCGTAGCAAAGTGCTGCTTTCAGAGGCTTCCCCGGTGCATTTCCACTGCTGAACAAGCCCCAGCTGTGAGGCAGGGAGGGAGCGGAGAAGAGCACAAAATGGCTGCCGGCTCCCTGTTGGGTGCCGGCTCTCAGCTGTTTGGTGCTCTTTTACTGGCTGTTCTGGGGCTACCAAGGCTACAGTACCTGGTAAGTGACTTTATTTTAATTTTTTTTGTATTGGACTTTTCCCCCCATAGGAACGCATTAATTAAATTTCAGTGCATTCCTATGGGAAACCATGCCTCGCAAGACGAAATTTTCGCTTGATAGCATTAACCATGGAACGGATTAATTTCATCTTGCGAGGCACCACTGTATAATGGAGTTGTGGGAGGATTCAAAGATGTCAAGGGCGCAGCTTTATTTGGTTTACCTTTCCTTCTGAGCATGTTAATTCTGCTACAGCTGTCACTGAATTAACATGACCAGAAACAAAGGGAAATTGAAGTACAGTATGCAAAGTACAGCCCCTCTGTTGATTCTGAGTCCCTAATTACCCAATGAAATGTTTTTCAAACAACAACAACAAAAACATTTCTGAGGATATCCTTTTTAAATTGACAACCAGGAACAGCTCACCTCCACCAAAAAAGACAAAACTGCAAGTAGATCTCCAGTCACTTCCTGTTCTTTCTTTCAGTTTTTGTTTGTATAGTATGATAACTAAATGAAAGAATACATCGTGCTTTGGTTCATCCCTGCCCTTGATTACATCTCCAGCTCCATGGATACCCTACCATATATCTCTCTAGCATTACATAAACATGGTCAGGATGAATGCACCTCTGAAATAGTGATTAAGAATTTAAGAACAGTTGCAAAATAGTAGTTTTAGAAGAGGTAGCCATGTTAGTCTGTGCTAGTGTATCAGCAAAAACAAAATAAGAATGAAAAATAAAGACAAAAATGTTGTGGCACCTTAAAGACTGTTATATTTTAATGTGAGCTTTTGTATACACATCCATTTCCTCAGTTGCAAAACAGTCATTTCTACAAGTCAATTTGTGTTAAAGGGAAATATTTCCTTGTATATATTCATGCCACATCTTGCCCAGGGAGAAAAGCACTTTTCACCTGCAATTTTGGAATAATGACCTCCTTTGTGCAAAAATCTTTGGCTGTGTGGGAAGTATAAAGCATTACCTAGATACTAGCTTGGAATACAGTGTGAAATTTTGCCAACTGGCATTAAGACTCAGTCAGAATGGAATGTTCAAGCACAATACTAATTGCATTATCAGATTACAAAACAGGCTTTGTGCAGTGCTATCAGTTTTCGGGTATGCCTCACCCTCTGCTTACTCCAACACTTTCATATAGATCTGCTCTGAATTCCTACGTAAGTGGCTTGCTTTTGTAATTTGTCTTTGTGTGCCTTCAATTTCAAAATTATTGTTTCCTATAATTACTCCAAATGGTCACACTGGAAAACATAAGTAGATGTCTGATCACATATCCCAACAGAAATTCTCAAGGAGAAAGCTGAGCATGATTGTAAATGTGTGTACTCCTTATGAAAATAGAGACTACTGAAATAACTTTGCCACTGATCTATACGTGCTTCTACATTATGAGGTGGAGCTCCAAGAATAATGAGATTCTCCATTATTACTTACCTCAGTTTTCAGCTTAACTACCCAAAGCTTAAGTCCTACAGCCCTTAAGGTGAGGGCCCAGGTTTGCAGTTGTAATCTTATTTTTAAAAAATACTATTCATTTGTTTGCAACGGAATCAAGCCACATTTTTAAAAATCTTCATTTGATCATCACCTCTATGTCCCCTTCTTCAGATGAATTAAAAGGATTAGACAGCTAAATCTGAAGCTGGTTAAACAGCAATAGAGGGCTTATCACTAAAAAATGATTCTGCAGTGAAGAATTATGTCAGTATCAGCAGGAAAACATGTGACAAGAAAATGGCAACAACTCGGAGATCTGCATTTTAGTTACTGCTTCAGGTTGTAATTGTGCCTTTTTTGGACTGTGACTTTGTTACCCCTTCAGTCCTATACAACCATAGGGAGCGTCTGTGACAAACATAAGGACCTGCATGGCTCCCTGGGTCTGATACAGTGGTGCCTCGCTTGACGAAGATAATCCGTTCCAGCAAAATCGCTGTAGAACGAAATCCTTGTCAAGCGAAAATAAAAAACCCATTGAAATGCATTGAAAACCGGTTCAATACGTTCCAATGGGCTAAATCCCTAATTGTCCAGCAAAGATTCCCGATAGGGCGGCCATTTTCCAGTGCCTGTAAAGCAAAAAATGCCTCCTAAAAACAACAGGGAGCCATTTCGCACAGCAGGCGGCCATTTTGAAACTGAACGATCAGCTGTTGTCAGATCGTCATAATGCGAAGAATCGGTTCCTGAAGCAGGGAACCGATCATCGTAAAGCAATTCTTGGCCATTGAAACATCATTTTGCAATCGCAAAAACCTCACCGCCAAGCGGATTCGTCGTTTAACGAGGTAATCGTTAAGCGAGGCACCACTGTGTATGTTAAGGATCACAATGCTGTATAACTGCCGCTAGCTATCATCAGTGAATCTGGATGTTTATTTTGAAGGATGTTAAGTTTTATTATATAATCATAGACCCGAAAATTCAAAGATAAAAACATAATACAAAAAAAACAGAATAAATAAGTTATAACATACGGACAGGATGTTATAATCAGACTGATGAATAGCATCCTGACAAGCTATGACAACCATTTTGACAAGCTATTACAATTACCTGTTTTTGAACTGGAAAATTTCCTCCTTTTTAATTTATTGTATATTGTAAAGGCCTTTGGTCAGAAACAATAAAGTATTTTATAGTATCAATTGACTTTACTGTTGTTCCATCTTCATTTTTCCCACTGTGTAATTACACCATGAATCATTGTGTATGATGATTTATGAGATGAGAAAAGAAGAAATAGGGTGAAGAATCTGGAAATCACTCAGGGGACTTTAATGGTCAGAGAACAGGAGAATAGGTCCACTTTGTAGATTAGTCATTAGCAGAAGTTAAGGAAAGAACATTTCCACAAAGGAGGAAAACAAACAGTGGATCTTTTCAAAGATCTCTACTGGAACAGGGCAACTGAACATTACAAATAAGCTATACAGTCAGGTACGGATAGCCATGTTCACACATAAAAATAAATTACTCAAAATGGTAACGTGTCTGTGTAAAAAGTGGCAAAAGAATTCTCCAAGCTAGGTGACTGTTCAGTAAAATGGCAGATGACATTCAAACAAAGTAGAAAGTGAAGCATAAACCATTTTCATCTTAGTCTCCATGTAATATTAGGTGAGTTTGCATTTACCAGCCCCCTCAAATTCTGCCAAACCCACACAAAGTATTATTTGCAAAGATGTGTGTGGAAATTTGTATAATTTACTAACCTTAACTGAATTGAGGTAAATTAGGACATCATCAAATTGTCTCAGCAGAAAGAAGCAAGATGCCATACACTGTCTCCCAGGGATTGTATCTGAAGAACGTAAATCAAATCGAAACATTTTGAGTGAAAATATTTATGTTTCTTAGATAACTTGTTCTATTGCCATTCTTTCTAACAGCTTCAAACTCCTGCCTGACTACCAGAAAGCAAGACAACATGTACATGCATGTTACTTTGGAGAAAGATAATGTAATACAGACATCAATTACACTGCTCAATGTATTATAGAAACATCCTACAGAAATTGCAATCTAGAAGTCTAATATTTCATCTAGAGCAAAATCTTAAGAATCTAGTCTTGCATCTTACTTCAAAAGTAAATGTCACTTACCAAACAGCAAGCCTTTAGTACAGATCATTCCTAAGATTAGTAATTTATTTTGGCAGTGGGGAGAACTCTAAGACTCCCCACTGCTAAATCTGATAAAGATATTGAGGTATTGGATTTTATGTGGCAGAGTTCATACTATCAGGTACATCAAGAGAGGCTAAACTATGAGATTTTGTGCACACAGGTCTACAGATGAAATGGCAGCATCCAAATATAAGAAGTGCACTCTGACAGTATGTAAAATATACCCAGCGACCATACACAGGTTGTAGGTTTGCAACACTAACCAGTACTTGCAGTGAAATTGTCTTAGTTCAGACCAGAAGTTTCAGAACTCGTTAGATGCAATGTAGCACTTCCATGCTTTGAGATTCCCTTCTCTTGATGTTTTGTTCTTCGTTCACAATGGGCACTTTTAGGTTAGCAACAAGATGTCCATGAAGGCTGAAATGTTCTCTATCTGCTATCTCAATTATGCACCATAATAATAAAAATGATATGCTATTGATTTCAACTTACAACCACTATTTCCAGAGTTTTCTAGGTACAGTGGTGCCTCCCTTAACGATGTTAATTCGTTCCAGCAAAATCGATGTAGAGTGAAAACGGCGTAAAGCGAAAATAAAAAACCAATTGAAACGCATTAAAACCCGGTTAATGCGTTCCAATGGGCTAAAAACTCACTGTCCAGCGAAGATCCTCCATACGGCAGCCCTTTTCGGTGCCTGTATAGCGAGGAATCTGTCCCTAAGCACAGCGGGGAGCCATTTTGAGCACCCGGTGGCCATTTTGAAACCCCGACGATCAGCTGTTTTGATCATCGTAATGTGAAGAATCGGTTCCCGAAGCAGGGAACCGATCTTCGCAAAGTGAAAAAAAAACCATTTAAAACATTGGTTTGCGATCGCAATTGTGATTGCAAAAACATCATCATGAAGCAGATTTGTCATAATGCGGGGTCATTGTTAAGCAGGGCACGACTGTACAGAGTACTCAGAAGTGGTTTACCATTTCCTTCTCTTCTGGGTGATTTGAAACTGTACAGCTTGCCCAAGGCTACATAGGCTGCTCCCTCTCTCAAGAAGCATTATGGGGAATCAAATACATGACTTCTGACTCCACAGCCAGACACTTAACTTGAGCTATCCAGTCAATTTACTAATCTCTTAGAGCAGCAGTCCCCGACCTTTTTGGGGCCACGGACTGGCTGGGGGAAGCAAGCTCCATGCACGGGGGCAAGCACGACATGCCCCCTGCGCAAGCGTGACACACACCCCGCGGGCGCAGCATGCTCACCATGTGAGCGTGACACACCCACCACACATGTGTGCGGAGATCCGTATCCACGGCCCAGTTCCAGCAAGCCCACGGACCAGCACCAGGCCACGGACCAGGGGTTGATGACCCCTGTCTTAGAGTACCTTCAAAAGTTTAAAGTGGCATGTGTTTTAATGACTTCCATAGAACTACTGCCTCAGCAGCATATGTATGGTTGTTGCTGAAAATGAAAGCTCTGTGTCTAATTCGTCATTCCCTCTTAATTATACATAGTATATCTTTTTAAAAATTAAATTCTGCTGACAACTTATTTGCCAAGGTGGCCAAGGAAATACATAGTATTGTTATGACAAGATGCAAGTAGCTTGGATTACACATTAAAAAAAACTGAAATAAGAATGATGTTTTTGACAACGTATCCAAATATACTTCAATGTTCTGATCACAAAGATGGAGAAAGTAATTAACAGTGTATTACCTATTACTAGAAACTCAGTCAAAGCTTGCATTTACTGATACTATTGATATTTGATGGGTGAAAAAACACACACAACAGTTGAAACATACCACATTCGCTAGCTGATCCTCCCACCAGCTGGAAAAACTGTTGAGCAATTTTCAAATGATCTCTCTGGGAAAGAAGCAAAGCAGAGCCAATGAGTGAGGCAAAGCAAGACAATAGTGAAGCGTACATACTTATTTGTTGTTCTTTAGTCGTTTAGTCATGTCCGACTCTTCGTGAACCCATAGTGAGGCCAAATTACACATTACATGTAAATGCATGAAATACAGTATTACAATGCTGCTTGGATAAGACATTAACCATGGGAAGTGCTTAGCCTCTTCTGCCACTTGTTTCCTCCGTTCCTCTCAAAGTTCTTTCTCCCTCTTTCTCAGAGACATCCACACATGAGGTAGCTTTATGTTCCAAAGGTGATTCAATCATATTTTCCAAAGTGATTTTGTTGTTTCAAAAATATCCATAAGGGTAAAATACATGAATATTTTTGTAATATTTAGCTTGGCCCAGAATCAACAAAAGAGAATAGCTGAGCTTTTTAAGAAGGAAATAATAAATATTTGGTCATTCCAGCTACATTGTCATTATAAACCCTACTTTCAGAGTACTGGGTACCATTCTCGTACCCAGTTTTCTACTTCAGCAACTTCAACAGAAATTCAGCATCAGAAGCAACTGCACTTATTTAGCTGGGCTTTGGTATTTATGTGTGTGCTTTTTTAAAAATATCATTTGGGATTTATGTCTTCTTTTGGAAAAATTGTTTTTCAGGCAACCCTATTTTGAATACAATAACCATAACAGCTTCATGTACAAATCTGTTATTAATGTATAGAATAATGCATCATTCTTTGATGAAAATAAAGAAAATAAGAATGGGGTAAAAATTGCACCCTAAATCAATCTTTCACTTGAGTCAGTAAAGACATACTCACTGGTCTACTCCTAATAAACGGTAGTTATAAAAAGTTGTGTTTTTACTCACTGAACCCATTTCCTGTCCAAGGACTGCATTTACAACACCCTTGAGGATGTACTCCTAAAGATAAGATTCAAAACAGTTAACATGGGGACAAAGCAGTTAGCTCAAGGTAGCTTGCAGTTATATTACAAATACACAGATTTCCAAAATATATATCTCCATAATTTCCAGTTCTTCAAGTCTGTGTTAAATATTCAACCCCAAATCAGTCTTGACAAATATAAGATAGTGACTGTAATTCTCACCACAGCAGTGACCATGGATTGTAAGATGTGCAAACAATTAAGAGAATGGTCACCCATTTCATTCTTCTAATACAGCCTTGTAAATGTACTGCATAATGTCAGCATATGAAATAAGTTGAACCATTTTCTAGGTGGGAGAGCAATTTATAAACAGAAAGTTGTTGAAATTCATCTTCTACCCCGTTTCTTTCACCAGGTCTGGATCCCAGTTTTAGAAAGTATATAAAATAAATGCTTTTTTGCCACATTAAATACTAATTGCTCTCCAGTGTTAGACTTACATTTACTGAATGTTATTCCTTGGTAGACCAATATATAATATGTGTGTGCATAAATAAACAGACTGAGATAATACATGTTGAACCAGAATTCAAAAGATTATAGTGAATTATGAATAAGTTGCATAATTTTTAAAAAATCACAACTAACTGTAGCAACCTCACTGTACCCTTTAAAAACAAAGCACGCATAAAGTGCTCAACACTCCTTGAGTATACTGAAAAGGTCTTGTTTGATTAAATAGCTACTGAAAAAAGTTCAACTGTCAAAGAAATGAAAAGTCAATGGGCTAAATCATTGGCAAGCAAAATGCGTCCCGCCAAGATGTTGCTGGACTGAAACTCCAAACATTTCTCAGCACTAACTACACTGGCTAGGGCCAAAAGGAACTGCTATTCAGCACTGAAAGGGTGCTCCTTGTTACCCCAGTTTAAATCCAGTTATTAGCACCAACTGGAGTGGACCCATTGAATCAATGGGACTAACTTACATGTTGACTTGAGTCCTTTTATTCAATGAGTCTTCTTTAGTTAGGACTAACAACTGAACACATAATGTTGGATCCAGACCAAGTTCTTCCAAAAGTAAGCACTTGTTCTCCCTATGGCACCTAGTTGATTACTACTAGTAATGGCATTTTAATCCATATGACCTAAAGCTTATCCCAGTATTTTCAGTGACATGATTGGTAACATATGTGGTTTTTGTCACTTCCCGAAGCCATGTAGTCCATGTAAATTTTGTTTTGTCCAATACTAATGCAGCAAAGCTTCGTTTAGCACTGAACCACCACTATGAAACAAAACAAAACAAAAATCCAGAAGAGAAATTCTCACCAAAGCTTTATTACGAGAGTATTAAGGCTCAATACTTATCAGCAGCCCCTCGTATATGTGAAATAAACCACAATTGTAATGGTCAGGAATTCTAGGAGTGGAACTCCAACAGCTGCAGCTGCCTTTTTTTCTCCACTCTTAGTTCCCTCTCCCTTTTCCCCCCTCACCTCATCCTTATCTCGTTATGAGACAAGGCAGAACAAACCGCCATAGAGACTCTAAAAGGAGACAGCACAAGGCAAATAAGCAGGGACGAAAGCTAAGAAAGGAAAGAAGACCAGGCAGCAGGTTTTTTAAAATTAGGTTTGCATGCATATATCAACACACTGTGCTCATTTGTCACTAAAGAACACTATGGGGACAGGAACAAATGCTCCATGCAGAGCAGCTCTTAATGGCATTTAAGTTTCACACTACCTCCAAAGAAATCTACATGCAACTATCAGAGTCTCAAGACAATACATGTTTCTGCAAAGTGAAAAGGAAGAATTTTATACACCATAAGCCTGCTCATTTTTTAGTTTTAAAAAGGATATGTTGCTAATCCAAGTAAATAAAACATTTTCCTGGATTTAGATAGCTTTATCTGGAAGAACCTCTCCATTCTGCTGATCACAAAGATTCAATAGATTTTCAAATCCTTCAAGTGAACTAGTGTTTCCATTCTGCCCTGCAGCTATAACATATACATACACTAAATGATAATGTATCTGATACAAATTAAAATTAGAAGATAAAATTTACACTTTTATGTAACATTTTATGTAGCCAAATCTTCTATTTACCTGTGGAGTTGTAGGTTCTAGATCTTTAATCAGATTGTAAGCTTCTTGCACATCATCTGAAATATGTTAAAATCCATAATATCACTTTCACACTCCATCATTGTCTCCCAAAAGCATTTATAGAGAAGGGATGAAAAGGAATTGTACTCTGGAGCTACTTTGTTGCAAGTGCATCTCTCTTTAAAAAACTAGCAGATGATTTGTGATGTCGAATTTTAAAGCCATTAGGTAGAAGCAAATGGCTTAATCTCATTCTGACCTCTAAAATGTGTACTTAGGACTTAGTTTGTAGGGGTGGGTACTCCTACATAGCCTAGTTTTTTGTAGAATCAAGTGTGGAAACGATCTAACTAATCAATCTGAACACCCAGAAGTTACTCGGGGCTCCACATTCATGTAACAGTTGATGTTCATTTGCCACCCATGTATATTTTTACTAGAAATACTTAATGTTGCAAAAATGAACAAAACAAACTTTTTAAAAGAACTTTTTATGTAGGATAGCTCTCAAAAAGAAGGAGTTTTCTCAAAAATGTTCTGGAGCAAAATATTACAAATTCTTCTAATGGGCACATCCAGGGGCAGCTGATGGGAGACAATGTTTTCAATAAGAGATCCTACATTTTATGAGGTTTTGTACAGACTAATGAAAATTAGCACAGACAGAGAATTTCAGATGCTGAGTGACATCAGCATACCAAAGACCTTAGAAAATATCTGAATAGTGCCCTTACAAAGCTAAGTTCAACTGGCTTAAGTGACTCTGAACTGACAACCAAATAAGCAAAAGCCTTCTTATTTTAATATTTTATGTATTCATGAAACTCTACAATCAATACTTGAGGATCTCCAAAAAACAGTATGAATAAAAGTGATACAGTAATCAGAAATTCCTTGAATACTAAGTAGTAACTACAACTTCAGTTCAATTTATGACTGTAGCCTTTAGATATCTAGACATAAAAATGTTTGTTGGAGCTTTTTGGTAAAAACTTTACATCCATCCATTTACAAATCCGTTCAGTACTGTATTTACAGAAAATGCATCTACCATCCCATTTATCATATTTTATAGCAGGCTTGGTCAAAGTGATGTGTTACACTAAAACCAACATAGTGTAGTTTATAAACTTTGGCCCACTGTACCTTCTTTTTCAATAATCTACGGTTCTCTCTTCACAAACCAGGGATGTAAATAATTTGTTAATTCACATCTAAGACACAGTAATCAGCTTCAACCTTCCTCCACAAATCCAAAATAAAAAACACACTTCTGCCTTTCATGGTGTCAAAGATCAAACAAAAGAATTATAAGGAAATAGAAATCCAAACTATGAGTTTACCTTGACGGAGGTAGTAAATTACTAGATTCAATCTGGCTTCAGGAATGACATCAACAAGGGGAGGAAGTACTTGGAGAGCTCCTTCCCCTCCTCGAAATACCACCTGTAAAGCAAAGTCCATATTGTATTAGTACTGCAACAACTAACAGAACATAATATTTTATGTTTTGAAATCCTAATTTATTGAACTAAGAAGCAGCTGGATATGAAGCTTATGATGGATTATGAAGATATCAAATTTCCCCTCACTTTTGTCTTTTACAGACTTTAAAGTTTCTCTGTCTATTCATGTCAGATAACCGCATATCAAAAACACACACAACAATTCCTTTAAAGCAAAATGCAGCAATTTTGTTCTTTATTCTTTAGACCATGTCCTCAGTTACCGTAGTTAGAAACATACAAGAATTTCATAAGCAAACATACTTGACAAGGTAAGACAGCTAGAGAGAGAGAAAGTGCTAGGCAATAAGGATAATAAAGTCTGAATGAAGACAAATATGAAGTGGAACTACACAGTGAGAAAAATGCAAAACTGACAGTCTGAGAAGTTGCACTGGGAAAGTCAGGTTTCCCCAGGCAAATTAATGTTCACTGACTTTTTGAATACAGTAAAATACTATTTACTTTAGAGATTAAAAAATGTATAGGACTAAACTGGTAGAGAAGCAGAAATAAGAATACAACAGGAAATAAGTTATATTATATTCATGCCTCTGTTACATTATCCCAAACACCACGCATTTTAAAGGCAAAAATATGTTTATATTGGATATGAAAAAAGATAGCAAGGCAGTAAAACACACATGGGAAGTAGTGTGTGGTTTGTACAATACTCCTGGTAAATTATTTAACACCTGAGTTTTAGACAGAGGATTGTGGTTGTCAAGGTAAACATTGGAAAGAGAGATGCTATAGTTATGGTGGGATAAAACATGTACATGAGCCAAAATATTCAACAGGAGACACAGAGAAGAATGAATAAATTTTTGGAGTGGTGTACAAGAAGAAATGACAGCTTGGGAATATATTTAATGTGAAGAGTAAAGGGAACAGGAGCATCTAAGAAAAAGCCATGGATGCATTCCTCATCAGCTAGGTGAGCTTGGTATTATCAATTGTGATATGAACAATAGAAGATAAAAACAAAGACTGTCAAGGAACCCCTTCACGTCCACCACAAAGAGGCTTAAGGTAAATAAACAGAGCTATCCTTGAGGCAGGGAATTTGAAATAATGATAGTATTTTTAAGTAGACTATACAAGTGGACTTAGAGGGAAATCAAAGATAGAAATGTATACAGTATCTGGATATCAGCTAGATATGATAAATGGAAAGTCTACGCAAAACAGTACGAATCCAAAATAGAACCCATGGCATTAATACTACGAACAGAGACTTCCCCAAGTGGATGCCCTAAGTGTGTGATCTGACAGGTAGGAGAACAACTACTTGATAGCAGAGTTATAATAAAGAAAGTGTGGACAACTTATGCCCTTCTTTATACTGTTGGACGACACCACCCATAAGCCAGCTAACACAGGAAATTCTGATAGGGCATGGGAGTTGCAATCCAGTAGCATTTGGAATAACAGCATAGGAATCACAGAACCATAGAACAGTAGAACTGGGAGGGATTCTAAAATCATCTAATCCATCCTCCTCACAATGGCAGAAAATTCACAGCTTAAACAGGCCATTCAATCTCTGTTGCAAAACTTCTGACAAAGATGGCAATCATGACTTTGGAAATAACAGAATTATGGAAATATGTGATGACATTTAGTAATTAAATAAGAGACTGCCAACTGGAGCCAGTTATAAGGATTGTATCATTTCCCTGCTACAACAGCGGCACTGGCTACCAGACTCCTACCAAGCTCAATTCAAAATGCTGGTTATGACCTATAAAGCTCTCTACAGCTTGGGTCCAGGCTATGTGAAAGACTGTTATCTCCCCACATGTGCTTTCCCAGCTTCTTGGATCTTCAGAGAAGGCCCCTTTCTTGGTATCACTGGGATCATAGGCAAATTTGAAAGCAACATGAGAGAAGGCCTGCTCTATGGCTGCTCCCAGGCTGTGTAATGCTATCCCTTAGTTGCCCCCTTCCTTTTATTCTTTTGATGACACTTAAAGACCTCTCTTTTAAGGCAGGCTTCTAATATAATAATTAAATTGGGCAAGATTAGTTTCTTCTATGTGTTGAGTATATTTACTATTTAAGTATATTTTTAAAGTTTCTAAAGTAACATAACTTTTAAATTTACTATTACAGTATATGTTTAATAGTTTCTTTACTTTAACAACTATTCAGCAAAATCCTGTTGGCATAATCTTGTGCAGCATAGCCCACATTAGGCACCAGAGGCATTTAACTTCAAGTTAAATCTTTCCATCCCCTTCCTTTTCGGTTCTGAGGCTCCCTAGGGTTGCCTTTTGCCCTGAGGAAGCCTATAGGAGCTTCAGGATTGAGAAGAGTCTTCAATGGTAAAAAACTACCACCAGATCATTGCTGCTGGGACTGGGACCTTTTTTACTATTAAAAGCTCCCCTACCCAAACCCTGAGGCTCCCAAAAGGCTCCCTCACACAAAAGGCAAACTTAGGGAGCCTTGGTATCTAAAAGGAGGAGAATAAGAAGCTTGCAATTACTGTAAATTAAATGACTTCAGAGCCCGATTTAAATTATGCTAGTGCAAAGTTAAGCAACAGGATTTTGTCCATTGTGTTTCTTTTATCATTATAAGCCATACTGAGTTCCACACCAGGAGAAAGATAGCCTACAGGAAAATAAATAAATAATAAATATGGAGATATCAGATTTGGAAGTCATTGTGGTTTAGTGTTCAGAATCTTTGAATGGGACTTGGGAGTTTCAGGTTCCAGTCTGCACTGAGTCAAGAAACTATGTGGTTGATCTTGAACCTAACTCAGCGGTTGCAGTGAAAACAGACCAACAAGGAGGAGAGTCAAGAATGTTTTCTTGAGCTACTGAAGGAAAAAGGGAACATAACCTTAATTCATAAATTAAAAGTAATAACCATGAATATTCTGCCCATGTATTCTTTTCTCTGGCTGAAATCCAGTAGTTAAGTCGCAACTAGAGTAGGCCCATTGAATAAGTGGGGGTTTGGTCCTCTGTAGGTTCCATTGACTCAGTGGGCCTACTACTGTACTAGATTTCAGTCATTATGTCAGAAATCCAAAATTCATGCAAGGAAAGCTTCTGTGCATACAAGCGAGAAAGTTACAGTCTGCCACCTCTTGTAAAAATGCTCTTGTGAGCCAGGCGACAAAATTTTCTTTTCCAGTCTATGGTATCAGGAGCTCCACAAAGCACATTATACAAACTAGTGGACTTAACAATTGTTACTCACCAGGTTGTGCTTAATAAGTTCTTTAGCAAATTCAAAGGATGTTGAGGCACTGTCCATCAAACTCTTAAGCTCTGCCTTATTTTTTAAATGATAATGAGGAAGGGAAAACAAATTAATAGAAAAATATGATGTATTATCAGCAGTGATACAGCTTAAACAGATATTCCAGTATTGTGCATCCCAATTATGATATGCCTAACTCATATACAGGAGACAATGAAACTAGGATAACTTGAAACAGGGATGTATTGGGGAAGTGTAACCTATTTTCTATCAAGTCCCACATTTCCTTGGGGATATTCTGTTAGGGGCCATACACCAGGACCTGGGCAAAGAGGACCAAAGCCATAAACAGGCAAGCCTGCCCCTTTTTTCTCTCTCTCCTCCTGTCATTCTTTTTTCTTTTTCTCTCTCCCCATCTACCAAGCTGAGATCTGAAGTGATCAATTGTGGAGGGATTCTGAATCTAGGTCAAAGGCTGGGCATACAGTCAGACAGCCTGAAAGCTCACACAGTGAAGTACTACAAATAATTTAGAACATCTCAAAAGTCTACACTGAAATATTATTGCCAAATCAAACCCTCAATCAAGAGAGATTGCTTGAGACAAGAGTATTTCAACAAAATACCTCAGCAGCCTTCCCATTGTAGAGTCGGAAATGATTGCAAGCCTTTAAATTAAGAGCGATGGTACTATCAGGAACCTGCTGAAGGTAAACAGCTAGCACTTCTTGTGACACATCATAATAATCCAGCTTGTAGTAACACAAGGCCACATACACGTTGAGGGCCAGATACTCTCTGCAGAATCAAAGTAAAGGCACTTCTGTTGCATCAAAGAACTACATTTCAAAAAGCAATTGTTGCATTCCCCAAAGGTCTATTAAAGCAAAATGATACTACATGAAAATCTGCATATAGACACAATATGCACAAACACACAAATATATGTGTGAGATAGCCAGCATGTGAAAGAGAAGGAAAAGAGAGACAACACAAGTGGTAAAATAGTTCATTCAAATACTACAAGGCACTATAGATACCTGTCCCTGCAAACAACAGTCTACGTAAGGAACAATTAGTGAACTATACAAAAAGTGCCATCATGCTTATTAATATATACTGATGCACAATTTTAAACAGTTATAGATATATTTCTGGAGCAAATCTTGAAAACATTGTATCTCCCACTTCTTTCTGCTTCCAGTGATTGCTCCCTTCCTTATACTACATACATTTTCTGAATCAGTTACTCTGTATACTTCCTTTTCTAATCTCCTATTTTCTTTCTCTGTGTAAATATGTACTTACATGTAACAAACTACATAACAGAGGAACATTCTCTTGAGGAATTCACCTAACAAGGGACCCAGTGTTGTGGTTCATATAATCATTATGAGCTATTCAAATCAAACAAACTCTTCTAGTTCAATACCAGTTGAGCTTACCTGGAAGCTGCACTGGGATATGTATCCATTAAACATGTCTAAGATTGCACTCCAAAGAAATGACACCCACCCATGAGTAAATCCCATTGTATGGTGTTACTTCTGACTAGGCATATACAACGTTCTTCAAACTAATCATTATAAAAGGAATGTTTTGATCCCAATAGTAAACTGTACTATCCATAATTTTAGGATGCAGTGCAGGGAAATTATCTTGTGGCAACAACTACAACTGTTAGAAAGGTACATAATGGCTGATATCCTGTTGCTGTGACTTATGCTGCATAAGGCTGCTGCTGGTGATTTACACTAACTAAAGACTTCCCTCTCATATCCCACAGCTTTTATGAGCTGATGATGATGAACACATAAGGCTGCTGCTGGTGATTTACACTAAAGACTTCCCTCTCATATCCCACAACTTTTATGAGCTGATGATGATGAACGTTATTATCCTGGAGCTTTGGGAAAGAAGTTAGAAATATTAAATTTCCTCAAAATTGCTACCACTGATGATATCATCTGCTAAATGTAGCTTATGTAACAGAAACAAGATTTCAGCCAATGAGACTTAGCCCAAAAAAGCAATTAACTTTAATCGCAAAAGCAGAAGAGCCCTTCTGCTATTATATGCTGCCCCATAAAATGTTAAGCAGGCATAGAGACAAATTGGAGAAGGAAAAGCTGACTCAAACCTGTTATCAAGTAGTATGCGCTTATAGATATCAATAGCCTCTTGGTAGTGAGAACGCATATAGTGTATAGATGCCAGGCTAAGCTGATCTTCTGTTATGTCCTGCAGATTCTGATGGAAGCTCATTAGTTTCTTCTCATCACCAAACTAAAAGCAAAATATCATATAATTCAGAAATAATGTTTTTTTAATTACTAAAATATACACTAATAAGTACAGCTGGCAATGAGCAATCATTCTCTACCTATAAAAAGGCAAGAGTAGCAAAACTGGCAATAAAAGACATTTCAAACTCCATATGGACTGATATTTTTATTAGGTCAACTAATATCTATATTTTATATTTTCCTCAAGCCTCTGCTTCCTTCCTATCATCTTCCCTTTGCATATAACTTTTCTTCACATTGAAATCTGGCCTCCTGCCCACTGGTCTTTTCCTCTTTTATTTAGGCCTTCTCACCACTGTGTCCAAACCTTTAGGTTCTGTGCCACTGCACCTCCACATCTAACCACAGTATGCCCTGATGAATGTTTCTCTCTCATTAAATCTAGATTTTCAGAAGGTTATTTAAATAACCAGATTAATGGCTGGTGGGGTGGGGACTGAATTTCAAAATATCTTTGGTGTATTCTGTATATTTGTGTCTGAATAACAACCACTGTTTGCATTTTTAATATATACATACCTTGTGTGCTAGATGGAATAGCAGTCGATTCTGAAGTCTACTTTTGGGAGCTGAAATTTTTGAAAAAAGAATTATACAAAGACATTATGCCCATTCGTGAATTGGTTAAAGTTCTCAGATTTTTGAATATTGATGCATGCATCACATCATCCTAACAGTACAATCCCAGGGATCACATTGGTGATTGTGTTTTTAGTAAAATGCTATTAAATTTCAGTTTTGGCATTTTTGGCTTGATTTTGGCTACTCTACTAATTGGAAGGCTAAAGTCACATTTGTCAAGATTAACTGTTTTTTGCCAAATGGTTCTGTTAATTAAATCAAATGCCTCAGTAACCCCTGAAATCCTGTATGCATCTACTCAGACATAAGTGTCATTGACATCACAATTATTCACCTCACCTTTCAAGGCTGCTGGTTCAGCTTGTGTATACATTCCCAAAAAGAAATAAGTGCATGCTAGATTCACCCAAACATCAGGATTGCAGCCAGGTCGCTTGGTGATATCTTCATATTCCTGAAACAAATAATTCTTTTGATACATTTTTCATATAGTTAGCAGAGACTGGGTGGGGAGTACTGCTCTATGAGCTTTGCTGTGAACACTGAAAATCCATAAATAAGTGTAGATGATACTGTTATTTGCTTCTATATAATTTGTTTCAGGCAACTGTTATTACATTGTTACATTTTAACACAGAAGATAAATACTTTTAAATAATCTTATTTAAATATATGCACAATTCCAATGGATTAGGTTGAAAGGAGATTAAAAATATTAGGTTTTGAGCACTATTACTATAAACCATGGTTAAGGGCCATAATAGGAAATATAAATGTATATGAAAAGGAGTAAGTTGGAGGAAAAGAACAGACAATTCCACAGTTCCTGATCTCCTGACCATGAAACAGTAATCGTGAACATACACATGAAAAGCTCAAAAGGATTAAGCTATGCCCATGAAAACTGCATAATATGAAAATACAAATTGATCATGCCACCCTTGTGGTGAAAAAAATACAAACAGGACTGCTTCTGTATAACCCACAATCTATATTATTTCTTTTTAAGTCCTGAACACATATTTTGCAATAATTTTGCTTTAGAAACAAAATAAGCTTTATGTGTATTTTGCTCTGTATGTTTAGAGTGCTAATATAATTAAGTGGAGTTTAAAAAGACACTACCCTTAATTCCTGACTTTACCTTTAATTATTTTAGCACTCTGTACATTCAAAATTTCAAACCTTAACAATATTCTCAAGGTCAAAAATTGTTGTTTCCTAGAATCATCTCAGTCATGAAACTACTTATGCCTTGATACTTAGATAACCTTTTCCAGTCATATGAAGAGTCTAGTTTCACAACTTCATTGGTACTACATTTGGTTCCCCATCCAATTTACTACCACTATTTTCCTGTTCAATATTCTAGAAAATTAAAATATGCTGTATCCTCAATATCCTCCAACAGATGCACTACTTGAAGATGTTTTATTCTAATTATATCTCTTTGTGTAAGAAAAATCTGGTAATTAATTTATTTTACTGATTTACATTTTAAAGAATGAACTGTCACCTAGACCATTTGTATTTTTCTATTCTTTTTTAATATGCTTTACAAGACATGTTTTTCTTCACACAAAATAGTCGTAATGGCTATATATGGCACAGGTATACTGCTAGGGAGCAAGAGCAAGAGGGTGCTGTTCATAAACTGCCTGGAGCTTCCCACAGGCACCTGGTTCGACACTGTGAGACCAAAAGCTTGGACCACATGGTAGTCGTAATGGCTATATATGGCACAGGTATACTGCTAGGGAGCAAGAGCAAGAGGGTGCTGTTCATAAACTGCCTGGAGCTTCCCACAGGCACCTGGTTCGACACTGTGAGACCAAAAGGTTGGACCACATGGCTAACTGGTCTGAACCAACATGAGTATTCTTACCTTCTTATGCTTTTGGAAAACAGAACATCAGGAAATAGCTTAAAAAATACATTGACATTAGTTTGTCTGCCTTCTGCTGCAAACCATATGGAATAATTCACATAATGTAGTATAATAACATACAGCTCTGTCAAAAATCTTACAATACATTGGCCTACCCTCTTTTCATCCTATTCTAAGAGAACTCTTCTATGCCCTAGTATTCCTGTGTTTGAACAGCATCCCCCTTCCTTCCAAGAGGAAGCAGGGTTTCCTCACCTCACCTCCAGTGCTCTCTTATAGTCACCCAGATGGAAAGCACAATATCCAATCCAGAGATCTGCACTTTCTTCTTGTTCCCCAACATGGCGCTTAAACTAACAATAAAGAAAAAGTAAGTTAAAATAGTGTCCAGTTGTGTGCATACTTATATGAAATTTCTAAGCAAACTGAAGCCATATGGCACTGATGTGTATATTTAATATTATCAGGGAGCATTTTAATTGAATCACTTTCAGGAGTCACATGTATGTCTTTTAAATCTACATGAGAAGTATATAAAATACCTACACATATGTTAAGAAGCAGCTGGAAGCAACTAACATATTTTGTGATTAAAAATACTTTGTATAGCCCCCTTTCCTGACTCTTTGCCTTTAAGAATAGCTGACAGGCAGAAATTAACTGACAGGCAGAAATTAACTCTAACTTCATTCCTTTCATGCACACAGGGAAACAAATTGTATAGCCCCCTTTCCTGACTCTTTGCCTTTAAGAATACATGATAGGCAGAAATTAACTGGCTAAGATCACATTGGTAACAAATAAGGCATAAAACTCATGAGGTAAAAAAAAACACATAAACTGCACTCACATGTAAGGATTAAAAAATGGAATACAGTACTGAGTTATTAAATCTTCATGTGAACCAGCTGCATACTAGTGCACACACCTTTCCTGACTCTTTGCCTTTAAGAATACATGATAGGCAGAAATTAACTGGCTAAGATCACATTGGTAACAAATAAGGCATAAAACTCATGAGGTAAAAAAAAACACATAAACTGCACTCACATGTAAGGATTAAAAAATGGAATACAGTACTGAGTTATTAAATCTTCATGTGAACCAGCTGCATACTAGTGCACACAACCTATTAACTCTAACTTCATTCTTTTCATGCACACAGGGAAACAAACTAAGCAGGGATATCTCAACAAGACATCTGAACTCAGAATTACAGTTTATTATATCCAAATTTCTGCTGGCTCGAAGCAGGGATATCTCAACAAGACATCTGAATGCAGAATCCAAATTTCTGCTGGCTCACAATCCTGTCATCTTTGGGCTCAGTAAACCATAACTCCCACTTGGACAACAAACTAATCTACTATTTCCTTATATGTTTACCTGTTCATGTAATGGGAGAAGCAAAGAAACTTGCCCACTCATATTGTCATTTACCAAGCAATGATTCCTGGTTTATTATTATGTGCAAATGCACCCCCAGGTAAGTTACCACTAATAAGCTTCTGCAAAATGGAACAGAAGCATGACAGTTTAGGCATTATAAACTGAATAAATTGGTGTAAGGCTTGTAACCTAAACAAGGTGTGGGCAAATTGTGGGTCTCAAGTGTTACTAGACTGCAACTTCCATAAGCTCTAGCCAGCTACTGGATGATGGAAGCTGCAGTCCAACATTGGAAGAGACACAGTTTGCCTTTCCCTTCCTAAATCAATATGAGCACATATTCACAAGAGCCAGTGTGGTATTGTAGAGTTTTGGATGAGGACTCAGGAGATCTGTGTTCAAATTCCCATTGTGGCATGGAAACTTACGGTACTGAGGAAGCAGCAATGGCAAAACATTCTGTGAAGGTCTCACAAAGCTCTATTAGTGAGTGCTCAAATTTTGTATCTTCTTAATGTGGTTTAAATTCATAGGTAAAGGGGTCATTTTCTTGTCCTGAAGCAACAAGGTCTGCCCTTTAGGGCTGTAGCATTATACACTCACGGAACATACCAGTATATTGGACACTGTTGTGTTCAAGTGGGCAAGTATTGTTTTAGGAGTGGTATTGGATCTGCATCCTGCTTCTCAATGCAACTCTGCATAGCCTACAAACTAAACTGTCAGTGTAAACTGACGGAAAACTAGGAAGCAGTTACAGTCCCTAACTGTGAGTCAGGAGGACTCAAAATCAAGAAGATAAGGGCAGGCTTCACTCTCTGTGCAATTTCATTGAAAAGGTGAGAGGCCATACCCTGTTTCCCTGAAAATAAGACAGGTTCTTATATTAATTTTTGCTCGAAAAACGCATTAGGGCTTATTTTCAGGGGATGTTTTATTTTACAGTCATGTCATCTTCTGAGTGCTGCACAATGGTGAGGGCTTATTTTCAGGGGATGTAGGGCTTATTTTAGGGGTTGGGCTTATATTTTGAGCATCCTGAAAAATCATACTAAGGCTTCTTTTCAGGTTAGGTCTTATTTTCGGGGGAACAGGGTACATCCCCATGAACAACAGTCTCTGTCGACTCCTTCTGCAGGGCCCTCGCCCCATTCTGTTCCCCCAGCGGGTATCCCTAGTACCTCCAGCAAGGCGATGGCCCCAGTGAAGTCTCGCTGGCTTAACAGCTCTTCCAGCTGAGGAATCCGCTTGCCTTTCTTTTTCCGTTTGTCAGCTGACGGAGGGCCGCCCCCGACAGCCGGCTTGAGCCGTGAGAGCATCTGGAAAGGTGAGGAAAATTAACACCAGAAACAAGTGAGGCTCCATTTGCCTCCGCGACCTTCCCGAGGAACCCCTTAAAATATCCTTGCCCGCCCTTCTCCCACGCCTCACCATCTTGCCCACAGGCCGGCCCAACGACACAACTACCAACTGCCGCCTGTTGTCGTTACGCCTCACCAAGGACTCGGTTACCCTGGCAACTGCGCGGGCGGGAGGAACTTCGGGCAGGGGGATCTAAATAGGGAGACAGCAAATAACGCCCGGGTGGCAACTGCTATTCATACTCACGGTTCCGCTGCCGACCCCCTCGCCAGATTCTTCGTGAAGAAAGGCAGCGGTCTGAGTGCATTGGCGACGTAGGAGAGGCGGAGAGTTCGACTTGTTTTTGGAAGGCGGAGAAAGGAGAGGCCCAATTCGCCCAAAGGCATCTCTTTCGAAACTGTGGTTTACCGCGGACAGCCGTGCAACTCGCTCTTAGTACCGTCCATTACATGTATGGCTGCACGAAATTTGTGCTACGGTGGCCGCCCCTCCTGTCCCCCAGCCCCCAGCGCGCGTAGTGCCGCATCTCTGGAACAATTTTTTTCATTGTTAACTTTTTTAAAAATAAAAATTAAATATCTGAAAGGATGAACTCCGGGGGAAGAAGAAAAATGCCCTACAGTTTAGCCCCGTATTTTCTTCTTCTTATATTTCACTTTGGTTTCATACTGTTTAGAAACCGAATTTACTGAGTAGAGCCTGAATGTAACAGAATCCAAGTAGAATAGAGTAACAGTGGTATCAAAGTAGATGTGGGTACACAGTTGGCATCTTAGCTTTGTAGCACAATCTTGCTCGTCACTTCCGTGTTGTGTGTTAATAGTTGTTGTGTGTTAAAAGGCTGCAGTGCTCTCGGTATGCAAGCACAGTCCCATTAGCCAAATAATGCTATTGTCACTTTGAAATGTCATTTTCTCTGCTTGTTATCAATTTTCATGGGGAGGCCATTCCCTCAACAAGTTATGAGTTAGACTCTTAGAACTGCAAAACTGGAAGGGACCCTATGGAGCATCAAGACCAGTCCCATCAAGGAGGCCCATTGGGGAAAAACTCCCAACCTGTAACCAGATCCACAAACCTCTGAACTACCCAGCTGTTTATGTATATAAATCTGTGGCTAAATATTTCATTCTATTTAACTGAGGTAAAAGATTGTAATCCAGGAAAACTGTACCTAAAATTGTGGACTGGCCATGCCAGGACACTGGATGACCGTCTTCCAAAGTGTATTTCTGTTGAGAACTTGCTGCAGATGCTCGATTGTGTGATGGGCAAAGGATACAAGGGAGACAATTTTGAAGGGATTTAATATTGACCATGTCAATTGAGAAGCTTTTGAGACCGAAATGTCTGGCAAAAGGTTTTCAAATAAGGAGCTGAATTTTTTGAAATAAAAATAATTAAAGATGCACAATACAAGAGACAGAAGAGAAAATAAAGTTGAAAAAGCCCAACAGTCCAATGAATCTTGGATCAGGTAACCTGCCTCCACTCATATTGGGCTAGTTAGTTACCAGAGATATTGACAGAGAAGAATATGAAAAGACTTCCTGTAGTCAAAAGTGCTCAAGTCAGTATTTTGTTTTTAAAAATTGAAAATATTTCAGGATGACTAGGGACAAATATTGTGGGAGTGGGTGTTCCTGCTGTCCAAAACATCAAGCCCAACTTAGTACATCGCTAGAACACCACTCACAGTCACACAGACACACATCCTTTTGGAGAATGAAATAACCGATCACACAAGGAAAAGTCCATTTGAATTATTCTGGCTTGAAAAAAGTAGAAGGCCCCAGTGGTAGAGGAAAACAAAACTTCGTTGGGAGCAAAAAGAGACAGGCTGACTTCAATTGGCCTTTGTGTCATATGATCAGTGGGAGGAAAAGCTAATTCATCTCTTTTACAGCCACAGCAAATCCTGTATTTGACCATGTAGCCACAGCTTTATAGTACAATGCTATACATTTACTCATTGGTAAACCTCAACTATGGTACACTACCATCCCACCAACACCACTATTTCTTGACCTTGACTTCTTTCCTCAGAATAGACAGGCTCCAGTGACAGAAGGTCAAAATTGACAGAATTCCATTTTCACATCCCTATTGGGATCTACATGTAGCAAATTCATATTCTATGCCCAAAGAGTATCCCTTTCCTGCCAACCTCTTTTCCTATCAATTAGTGTCTCTTTTTTTAAACTTTCTGTTTCCTCAGCCCTTTTGCGCATATCCCACCAGTCTCTCAGGTCCAATACTGTACTCCTAATCTCAGACTTTCCTGCTTTCTCCATTTGGCTACCTTACATCAAGCTTACATGTTCTTTACTGTATCTTATTTATTTCTTGGAAAGTCCACTCCCCCCACCCCCAATTATTAGAATGCAAACAGAACATGCAGATTTCCTCTCCACATAGAAGTTGGATAGCAAATATCCTCACAGCTTTATTTTTAGAACAGATACCTGCATAGTAATTTCCGTTTTGGCTTCTACCCTATCCTTTTTGCATCACACAGTATGATGAGGTATGAGGAACTCCATTTTCCAGCATTTTACTTTGTTTTAATAAAGATGTCACACAGCGCAAGATTCCCCACATCCAAATTTAAGCCTGTATAGGTCTAATTTAAGTTACCCCTCCAATGCTAGCAAATGTATTTAATATTCAAAACTTATTTTATACTGTCAGTGGATCAACCTTGGAGTTCATAACTATGGATCATATAACATCAGTGGGCCTCTCCCAACATGTAAATGGTTCTACTTGTGGCAGGCCATGCACTTGACCTTCATGAGCGGCTGAGGCAACAATGATCTTGGGTTAAGGATTTAACATATATTGCCCTGTCATGGACAGATCATTATTTGCTAAAGGTTGGACTTCTGAAGTCAGTAAATTAATTGCACAGCTTGCTGGGAGGGGGAGAGTGACGCCTGAATAATTAAATTGTAAACTGCACAGAGAGTGCTTTAAGTGCTATGGAGCAGCTTTGCAAGCAGTATGCTTGTTGCTTTGCTTTTCTAATAATGACCCTACCCTTGTACAGAGGCTGTGCTAATGATCTGTCTCCAGAGGCTTTGTTTTTGTTTAGTCGTTTAATCCTGTCCAACTCTTCATGACCCCATGGACCAGAACACGCCAGGCCCTCCTGTCTTCCACTGCCTCCTGGAGTTTGGTCAAATTCATGCTGGTAGCTTCGATGACATTATCCAACCATCTCACCCTCTGTCGTCCCCTTCTCCTCCTGCCTTCACACTTTTCTAACATCATTGTCTTTTCCAGGGAGTCTTCTCTTCTTATGAGATGGCCAAAGTATTGGAGCCTCAGCTTCAGGATCTGTCCTTCCAGTGAGCCCTCAGGGTTGATTTCCTTTAGAATGGATAGGTTTGTTTTCCTTGCAGTCCAGGGGACTCTCAAGAGTCTCCTCCAGCACCACAATTCAAAAGCATTAATTCTTCAGCGGTCAGCCTTCTTTATGGTCCAGCTCTCACTTCCATACATCACTACTGGAAAAACCATAGCTTCGTTATTAGGTAAAGGTAAAGGTTCCCCTTGACAATTTGTCAATTCATGTCGAACTCTAGGGGGCGGTGCTCATCTCCATTTCCAACCCATAGAGCTAGCCTTTGTCCGAAGACAATCTTCCGTGGTCACATGGCCAGAGCGACTAGACATGGAATGCCGTTATTACATCTTTACAAAAGGAGTATATACTCTCTGGTATGAGAGATATAAAACTAAATTAGACCCATTCTGAAAAAGACCAATTTAATTACAGATGATTTGAATAATTATAGGCCTGTTGCTAACATCCCACTCATGGGAAAACTGATGGAGAGAGTGTTGGCAGACCAACTGCAGGTATTCTTGGAAGATATTGATAGATTCATTTCAGTCAGGGCTCACTATGGGACTAAAACTGCTATGACCAGAGCACTCACCTGAATGACCTGAAAAGGGAAGCCAGGCAGGGGAATGTGACCTTGTTGATTCTCCTTGATCTCTCTTCAGCCTTTGGCACTGTCAACCATTATATCCTCTTGGATAGGCTATCAAGTTTGGTCTCTATGGAGAAGCAAGGTTCGTTGCTAGGTCTGCCTTTTTTATTGATCCTCAGCAGGTTGCACAGTTCCAGCCTGATCTGTGCAGGAGATTTCTGACCATTTGCTCATACATTGGTAATCTCAAGGATCAATTAGTGCAATGCTATCTAATTGGTCTGCCTTTGAAGGTGATATGGAAATTGCAGCAGGTGCAAAATCATAGAATCATAGAATAATGAAGTTAAAAGGAACTTATGAGACCATCCAGTCCAAAATGCAAGTGCTAGGCTGATTTCAGGATTTTCTAGATATGCTCATATTTCCCCAATTCTGGCAAGCCTGCATTGGCTCTCTCTCTGCCAAATTCAAAGTGCTGATTTTAACTTATAAGGCACTAAACAATGTGGGCACTTAGTATTTGCCAGTGTGTCTCTCTTTAACATCTTCTACCCAGACTACCTGATTATCTCAGGCTTCATTGTTGTGGGTGGCTACCACAAGGGAGGCCTGGAAAATGACCACTAGGAACTGGGCCTTCTCAGTAATGGCTGTGACAGTATGGAACTTGCTGCCTGCTGATGTACACCAAGCTCTGTCCCTTCTGTCCTTCATGAAGCAGGCTAAAATGGAGCTTTTCAAAGAAGCATTCAGGATCTTCCTCCCCTGTGAGAAATTTCCGAAACCATCCAGTGTAATTTTTAATTGAGCTAGCTGTCGCCATCTGCAAGGATTGTTACATTATGTTTATGGTTGCTTTGTTATTATTCATATGTGTTATTTTTGGTCAGATGTTCTAAGTATATGTTGGACTTTTGTAAGAGTATGCTTGCTACTAGATGGTCAGGATATTAACACAATAAACAAATAGACTCATGAAGTCAGGTAGCTCTTGTTAAGGCTTGTACAAAGTTCTTTTATGGCAGTGGTTATCAACCTTGGATCCCTAGATATTCTTGGATTATAACTTCCAGAAGCCTTTGCCAGCACAGTAAGTGATGAAGGCTTCTGAGAGTTTTAGTCCAAGAACATCTGGGGACCAAAGGTTGGGAACCACTGTTTTGGGCTAGATCCAGCATGGAGAACATGTGGATCTCCAGATGTTGTGGGCTGCATCTATTATCACCCCCTGCTCTGTTCTAAAGACTTTCTTTCTGACTTGAAAACCCATGTTCTCTCTGAGAACAATGCAACACGTGTCTCAAAGGAAACTCTTCGAAGTGGGGTTAGGTGTAAAATGCCTGGAACTCACTGTTGGCCTTGGGGAATTACTTTGACCAACAGGAGGTGTCAACAAGAAGTATACTGAGTTAACATTTCAGGAAGATGGGCATGTGGGCCTTTGGTTCAATCTCCTTTGATCTGCCAAATGAGTTAGCCCTGCTTTCTTGTGGGAAAGCTACAGATTAATCCTTGGTTTCCAACAATAATTTATGGCAGAGCCATTCAGTGCCTATGCCCTTTTGGCACATCTCTTGACAAATGGTGCAATCAATGTTATCCTATATGAAATAGTTACTACACCTCTTATCAATCAGAAGATAAAATGGCTACATATGTGCAATCTTTTAACAGGATTGTTGTTGTCTGAACTTTTACAGGCAATTTCCCTTTAAATAATCAATGTTAGTAGAAATTTAACTTGAATAAATGATTAGCTGAGATATCATGAAGAGCTAGACAAACTGCTGTGGTAACTTCCTGCAGATGTGCAGGACCAGATCTACACAGACACCCCTCAAACAGGAATCTTCTCCCTGTTGCTGAAAATAAGAAACCAGACAACCCAGTGTTTTGGCCACTGGTAAGATCTCAGTTGGGATGTCTTTTTGGAGTGCGAGTCTCATGCCATCTGATAGCACTAATCCATGTTATAAAAGCAAAACCATGGACTTTCTAAAGAAACTACAGTCCACTGATAATCTCTAGACAACACCATCCTAAAGGTAACACCCTTCATATCTCCCTTACAAAGGGGTTCTAGGCTACCATGAATTTAATCCCTGATGGTACTATAGCATAACTAGCCACCAGACTCTGCCAATTAGTATTTACTCACAAAACATAAGCTTGGGGAAAACATACATCTTCAAATTGATACCATTATCACGCAAACTGATGACAAAGTATGCAAACTGGGCATGGGTGCTTCATATTCATATCCAGGGAATACAAATACAAAGTGCAGCACCACAGGTGCCACAGCAGTCCATTCCCACCCACCAGAACCAGCCCAGTCCACTCACTGTGGTCCGTGCAGCATGCACGTCCATTAGAATCATTGCAGCACCAATTGTGGAAGTTGTCCAGCCGGTGCTGGCCCACCTGTCCCCACAGCCAACCGCTCAGCAGCCAAGCAGGGAGACTCATCTTCCTGCCTCCTTGCTGGATTGTTCAGCTGTGGGGAGAGGCAGCGAAGACTGGCCAGTCCATTTTTATGATTGGCATGACAACAATGCTGATGGACATGCATGCTGTGCAGAGTCCGATGAGTAGCCTGGTCTGATTCCGGGGGGGGGGGTCAGGAATGGACCACTGTGGCAATAGAATGGTGACTTTTGTCACTTGAAGTTCCTAATGAAAACCACTCAGCATTTGTCTATACTGCATCCTGGACAACTCTGAGAATGCCCCTCACAGAGGGGCTATGGATAGGTTTGTACCTGCTTATAGACTGGCAGTCAGCCTTGAACAACTATTTACCAGCAACAGCAGTCTATATAACAGAAGTACAGATACAGGAACCAAGCTCTGTGGCATTCCCAGATGCCAACCCCAGCTCTTATGTACTCTGCCAACAACAGAACAAGACCTAGTAACATAATCCCCAATGTCAGGGAATTGTATGCCTTCTCATCTTTCAGTACATGTATATGAATTGTGGGCAGTGCCCGACTGTGGGCCTATCTTCACACAAAAGAGGTTTTCAGTTTAGGTAAATGTAAATTATTCAGATTGTGGGATGGGTGAGTTAATATCTTTATTCCAAATATATACTGATGGATTCTGAATTGACTATGGCTAGCCATAAAAGGATTTGAAGGTCATGAATGAGCTGTTTTTTCTTCTTCTTTATTAGCCCACTGAGATATAATATTGGACAGACGCTGCCTTTTTTGCTTCCTCAAATGTCTGTTTTGAACTTTTCTAATCCATGCCAGTCCTGCTCATCTTTTAAAATCATCCATCCATCTAATCTGTGGTTTTCCCCTAGACCTTCTTCTGACTGAAAGTGGCCACTGATGTATTTGTTTATTCTATCACTCATCTCATTGGCTCATGGAGCAGCCCATCCATCTCTATTTTAATGATGCAATTTTTTTTCAGAAATATTATTTTTGTCTTTTATTGAATAACCTGTTTTCATACTTTATCTATTAGTCTAGTATTTAGCATTGGCCTTTCCATTGCTCTTTGAGTTGTTGCAAGGTTTTCTCCTATGAATTTTGTTAGAATCCATGAAGGATAACAATATGTCATCAAGTCATGTTATGGTAACCTTTTCCAGTCTTTTCTAAGTAGAGAAAAACCACATCTATTTTTAAAAATTAATACCAGGTGTCAGGAAAATTATTCTCATTGAGACCACAGCCTCCTTAGAGAGGAGGTTTAACCTTCCTTCCCTAGTTGTGATCCTTATAAAAACACACAACTGCAAGTAATTCAGGAAAGCTCACATTAGTGTTGATGGGAGTCTCTTTTTTCTTATCTGCAATTTGTGTGATTCTGACTTGGACTACAACTCGGAAAGAGAGTGTCAAATTTTTCCATTCCTACATATAGCACTGGGCTAACTAGTTTGAACCTCAGAATGCAACAGTATTGACCTACATTGACAGCATTGAATGTTCCCTCATACAAAGAATGTCCTATGTACATAGTGCAAAGCCAGAGAGAAAGATTAGAACTCTTGATTCCTGACACATTGTTTTAAAAATCTGTAACAGCCATTTACGTGTGGAGGAGAATTCATTCATATATTGCACACACTTCTAACTGCAGTTGAAAATTTTGTTGTAATTTATTTTATTTATTTTAAATATTTATATCCTACCTTTCTCCTCAAGAGGATTCACTGTTATCCCAGTGAGAAGTGTGTAGAGCAAATAGTACAAAAGGAAGAGGAAACATCAGTGTAGAGTTCTATTGACTGATGCCAATCCTTAGACTTTTGGCATGACACCAGAAGTATTATACCATCTGTATAGTTTCATGGTACAAGAACGTACTGATTCTTTCATGAATAATTTGAGAGTATATGCCAGTTTAGTAACTTTTCATTCTTCTGCTTGTGTTTTTTTTTTAAATTCTCTTTCCTTTGGGAAGCATAAGTCTATGAATTAAATCTTTAACAAAATTAATAGACATTGATTGTAGGTGCCAGCTCCCCTGTCTCAGTTAGTTTAAGCATATGCTTTTCCAAACTGGGGAATAGCACAGCACATGTAATTTGATGTTTGGGATTCTGGCATCAAGATAAAAGGTAAAGTTGTTCAAGTCAAGGGTGACACAGTGGCTGAAATCTTATTGCTTAGTGTAGGAGGTTGCAAGTAGAGTAGGTCCATTTAATCACTGGGGATTTGGTGAGTCAACCCTACTGTAAGCTCACTGATTCAATTGTCCTAATTGAGTTGTGACTTACTGCTATAAGACAGGATTTCAGCCTTTATCTTATCTCAATATGATAACCTATGTGTATTAATCATCTTCTGTCTTTCAACCTGACTAGCTTCCACAGCTCATTATGTTAAATGCAGATACTGTAGTTGTTTTACTTATAGAACAAACCATTAGCCCCTCACGTCAACAACCCTTAAGGGTGTTGTCCCTTAATGTCTTATGACTGCGACAGAGAAGGACATTGCCCTTGCCCTGCTCCATGAGTTGTCCTAGCTTTGACACATTTCCCCTTTCTTTATCTTCTTATTCCTCCTTAAAACTGTCGATGTAAAATGGTTTTCTTTTTCCATGCTTCTTCCATTTTTGGAGTCCATTCATGTTCTTTAAAAAATCGTAACAGTTCTGAAATAACTGCAGTCATCTTAAAAACACAGATAAGCTTGGTGGTCACTTTTTCATAGCAGAAGAAAAATGATTAGCAATTTCTGAACCAATAAGAGGCCCAGCACCCCCTGTAACATTGCACACAATCCTATAATGCACTTGATTTAGGTCAAGCACTTTTGCTTGGGGTATCACAATATCATCGGCTGAGCCATTTTCTGCTTTTTTCTGGGAGTGACTCCATCACCAGACATATGAATACAGTACAACCACTAGCATTAGCATTAATGCTAATCCTTCCTATATAGGCTTCAAAAGGAGCTTGATAACTGCATTAATTTGTTAATTTATCTGAATATGAGCACACTGATCACAGGATCATAAACAAACATATCTTATTGCTCTAATGTATAATCCAGTAAAGAAGAAGAGCCAGAGAGGAGAATATCATAATCAAGCACCTTTTGCTATCAGCAGAAGACAAACACAAATAAATGAAAATAGAAACTCAAAATGTAGGCTTTATCTAGTACACAGAGGAACTTCCTTATTTTACAGTCATCAAGGTTAGTGGGAAAGTTAAAGTAAATAAGCAACCATCTGTGTTATATTTTTGCATTAATGGACTTTTTATTTTATTTCCATTTTAACTGTTTTCCTTTTATAATGTTATTGGCCCCTCCTTTCTTTTCCCTACCCATCATCTTGTATCTCTAGCTAACAAGGTGTGGCTAATGCCCGAGTTTTACAGCCCTAACACTCTCAACAGCAAACATGAAAACAACCTTTGGCCTCTTCCCATCTCACAAGTTGTGCTGCTGTTAATTGTTCACAAGCAGAAGTACCAGCTGGGGCAGATGGGTGTGAGGGTGGAAAGGGAGCCAAAGAAGAAGAGGGAAGGTCTCATTTGAGAAAGGGGACATTTAACCAAATGGTGGGCATATGACAGGCAAGTTTGCTTCATAACAGAAAAAAAATGGCCATGTAGCACCTGTAAGAAGCATTCTTGGCAAGGCATAATGTGGCGACAAAAGCAGGACCAAACCTTCTGGGGATTGATCCTCCTGAACCACCTGCTATGGCATGCAGCTGAGACCAAGTGTGGAAATAATAACTATGTGATCAACGTTATGATACTGAATGACTCTGACTTGCCAGTGGCCTCAGAGAATATAGAACCAGCTGTAGAACTGGGCTTGGAACTGGTAAAAGCCTCCTTGAACGGTAAGTTTACTATGCCTTGGCACTCTACAAATGTTTGAGGGATAAAATTCAGACCTTGTGTCTACTCAGCTGAATGTGTATGTAGACTTTGTGCTTCTGTCCCCAGATTTGCTGTTTTTGTTTTAACATAACTGTCTACCAGATAAATGTCGCAAACTAGAATTGTTTTTGTTTCTCAAGCTTACTGGGTCTTGCAAGAAAAAATAATTATAGTGATTTGAACACAGATTGGTATAGTTTCAGTGTTTTCTGAACTTATTTGGTCAGTAGTATTAAAAACAGATAAACATCTAAACCAATGAAAAAACAGCTTCAGAACACATCCTTCTTGTCGCTTCTCCTCCTGTAAAGAACACCCCAGTGTTTTTGCTCTGAGGAAGAGTTTCTGCTTACTATTATCATGGCCTAATAAAATTTGCTGAACTGCAGTGCAGAGGAGGGCTGTCTTTCTCATGGCCCTCATCATGTGAAATTATCTCCCTTCTCCTCTGAGATTAGATGGAGCTCCAGCACCGAGAGTTTCCAAGATCAACAAAATAATGAGCCTTCCCCCCCCCCATTTTCCTAAATATTCAACAAATACTTGCAGTTACTGTTTTTTAATAAATTATTTTAAATTAATTATTTATTGTTTTGATGATGGCAATGACTTGCAGTGACTTTTTGTTGCATTTGCTTTTACTGTACACACCTGAGCCTTTTAAAATTAAAAACAACATAAAAATCTTTAAAAATAGATAACCATGGCTTATCTAATGTAATATATGTAATATTAAGCAATGCATTATATTTTATGAAATGATAGTGATCCTTAATAATTATCCTAAAAATCCAATCTGATTATCAATTTGCAGTATAACAAATGTGCAGTTGTTCAATCTTTCCTCAAACTCACACTCGCAATGTGAATGCAATTCTTGCCCTTGTTCTCTCATGGAGAGCATATATTGATATTGCAGCTCTTCTGCAAAATGTTTTCGTAAAATAATAACCGGAGAAAAACAAAGCATTTAAACGTTGTCACGTAAATTTACTTGAGACTATTTATCTCTAAAATGCTCTTCTAAAAACATCTCACATGCAAGTAAGGCTACTTGGAGAACATGCCACTGTTCCATGAGTTTTAAGTTGCAAAGATTTCTAGGGAGAGTAGCTGTGTTAATCCATCACACTAAAAATAGAACAAGCTTTCATGCAGCCCAAATAAATCTTATTAGTTTTTGAATTGTCATAGAACTCTTCATCACAGGTTTAGATCATCTTTAGTAATTTGAAAAATACTTCCCTGTTGCAAAAGAAATAAATCTCTCTACTAAACAAAACAAAAAAAGTCCTACCCTACAATATGTGCTCAGAATGCCTTCTGTGCATGAAAATCAAAGGACATTATCCAAAGTTTAATTTTCCATATTCCATCAACAGTTCTTTTAAACACAAAAGATCAAAGTATATATAGTATTTGATTGGTTAGTTATACAATGAAAGGAAAATCAGGTACCTTATTATTACTTATTTTGTAATTTCTATGTTTTGCTTGCTTTTTTTGATCATTCTTGCAAGGTAGCTTAGAAGATTCAAATTCCGTGAAATGTCTTATAATCAGTAAAAGCAATGCAGTTGCAGGATGAAATCCTGTTGCTCAACACAGTAACTCACAACTAGAATAAGCTCATTGAAGATGGGGATTTGCTGAGTCAATTCCTCCATACAGTCCATTGATTCAAATGGGCCTACATTAGTTGCAACTTATTTTAATGTAGTGAGGGCCTGGTCCCACTGCTGGAATAAATCAGCAGAGGGATCTTATTTTTTTTTGGATTTGGGCTAAAGTCATGTGGATTTTAGTCTGACTCCAAAATGTCTGAGGCGGTTTGCAAATCTTTACCCTTCCTCTTCCTCCTCCTCAGGCTCCCTCCTGCCTTCAAAATAAACAGACCTCTAGCAGGGAAGGAGAAAAACGTGGACCCCCCCCCCAAAGCAGAGTGTTCCACATGTGCATGTACGTCGTGTGCATGGTCAAATTTAAATTATGTTTTTTAAAGGATAACCTAGTAAAACAGTGGGGTTTTTGGGCAGTGGGATTGAACCCTAAATCACAGCTAGAGGATTTGTCTCACCAAATCCCCACTGATTCAGTGCTACTCTAGTGTAATTTAGGCTGCAACTACATAGGTAAATAGTATGGGATTTGCTGTGGAAATAAAACTGACACATTTGAATTTTTGTTAAAAAATTGGCACTTGTGTCACTTGATTAGTTATCAGCCCAGACTTTTTTGCATCCGAAGAGGGGTTTTTATCCCTGCCCCTTCTACTTTTTTGAAGCTGGAGTGATTTGAATGGTGTTTTTTCTGTGTGATCAATTGTTTCATTCTCCAAAAGGCAGGAAGTATGACTGTGAGTGCTATTTTGTTGACATTAAGTTTTGGACAGCAGGAACATCCACCCCCCACAATCTTTCTCCCTAGTCACCCTGATATATCATTTCTAAACAAGCTACTGTACTGAGTTTAGTGCTTGATCATTGTATCACTGTATTGATATATTCATTTTTTGTTAGATCACCTCTGCACAGATTTAAAAAATATTAAACTGATATGAATGGAAACAATTCCAACAAGCTGCAGTACACTACTATGGCTCTACAGGGTGTGTGTATGTGTTTGCACATTGTGGAGAACTTTGGCAAACTTCCTTTTCCCTAACACCATGCAACAGTTTAAGTAGCCCACTGGCTTTGCAAAGAACCATAAAAAGAGAACCAATATAGTTGGCAGAGGGCAGAATCAAAAAGAAGGTAGACTGCAGCGTGTATTAAATTGGTGCCCCTCAAATAGTACTAAAACAAACCACTGTTTCTGTGTGATCACCTAATACAAGTTGAAGTGTAAAATAGGCTGTGAATCAAGCTGCAGCAAAGCCAAATTGGTCTGATACAGCTTGCCAGTGTAGTTGCAGCCTTATTACACTAACCAATAGCATTTCAGCAGCAGTGACTAAGAAGTGTTCTTAAGTAATTCCAGCAAATATTTTTTATTGTTCTTTTATTCTTTTATTTATTATCCCAAATATATTGCATTTTCATTACAGCCAACAATCTGACTGCCAAGGTCAGTGCCACATACAATGGTTTCAACACATCTCTTTATGTCTCACAAGGCTGTCGCACTAGCACTTGTGAAGGTGTGGAAGTCATCAGGAATCTTTTTGTGAGTATTAAAGCACTACTGTAGGAACCATTTCTTTAAGCTGGCTTCCAAGCTGCAGTCCTGTTAGTGGCTGAGAGCCAGAGGAGGCACACAACTCCATTCTGGATGGCGATAAGATTGCCATAGCTTTATTGGTTAAACTACAGTACCTTGCTGCTGCACAGGGGATAGAACCAGCCATCAAATGATGTACCTGTTGCCTCACAAGCCAACTGTCTCATTTCCCTTGCTGCACAAATCATGGAGTGATAGGATCCGAAGGCCACATGATTGTTGGCCACATTATGAAATGTAAACCCACATTATTTGGGGTGTAAGCCTGAGCTGTTCTCAGGCAGAACTTCCCTGAAACTTGTTATCCCATTATCTCTTAAAAGGACCTCAAATATGATATATAGTATGCAGGTCTCGTTCCGAACAAACAGGATCTGGACCAACACCCCTTATTAACACTGACTAATCAACCTCTCCAAGACCCCCCCAGCAATCCCCTCTGACCCCCAATATTGTGACCCCCAATACTGAGTGGACAAGCAAGAAAAAGCCAATGAATGAATGACGAATGTTGGCAGGGATTTTAAATTGGAACAAAACCTTTGCCTTTAAACATCATAATGTCATAACATAGTTCAAAACTGCTACGTTCTGGTATCGTGATATATCAGGGTATATAGCATGCCACTTATATATTGCCTCATAGTGTATAAAGCACACTCTGGGCGGTTTACAAGTTAATTATGCAGGCTCCACATCCCCCCCTCCCAGCAAGCTGGGTACTCATTTCACTGACCTCAGAAGGATAGAAGGCTGAGTGAACCTTGAGCTGGCTACCTGGGATTGAGCCCTTGGTCGTGAGCAGAGTTTTGGCCGCAGTGCAGCATTTTAGTCACTGCGCCACGAGACTCCTAAGCAAATTTATCTTTGCTAATACAGTAGCTGGCTGGATAACTCAGTCAGTTTGGTAGCTGGGTTGAGAGTTCAGTTCCCCACTGTGGACCCCAGAAAAGCCAGCTTATGCAGCGTTGGGCAAGTCTCAGGGTTCCCCCAGAAGAAAATGGTTAACTACTTCTGAATACTCTTTACTTATAAAGCCATGAAAAGGGTCAAAATTGACTTGATAGCACACAGTTATTATTATCTTTACTAATACTTCTGATATGTGAATCCCCCCCCCAAATTTTTCTCAAACAGGCACCTACATAGCTTTGACCCATGTCTGTGCTACAATACCTTTTTCCCCTTGCTCTATCATTTTTATGTGTGAGTTCTCTTCCCTTTTCTAGTAATCATCTTCCAAACAGCAGTTTCATTACAATAGTGATTCTCTGCAGAGTAGCACTCCACATTTGGATGATTTCTTTCTGTCTGCTAGCATTCCTATCTCTTGCTGATTTTGGTCTTTATTTATTACAGACAACTAATAAGCTTGGATGTACTGTCCTGGGTCCCGCATGTACTTATGCCACATACCAGATGGTCTCGTAAGTATCTGTCAATAGTATTATCTATATAAATCAAAGTAATTTTCTTTTGGTCTCTTCATTTTGTTATGTCACCAAACACAAAAATTTCAGTTGAGCCCTCCCTCCCCAACTTGGATAACAAGCTTCCCATTTCTGCTGTGCCAGGTCATTGTTTATGTTCAGGCTTACAGGAGGATGTGTTTTGTTTTGTGCCTCCATACCTGAGCCCTCTGCCAAAAATCCTCCTGGAGCACCTTGCAAAAATAAATACAGTGGTGCCTTGACTTACAAACTTAATCCGTGCCAGAAGATGTTCTTAATTCGAAATGTTCATAAGTCGAATCAGCATTTGCCATAGGAATGTACTGAAAACCGATTAATCCATTCCGGCTGTTTTTTGTTTTTATGTAGAGGCGCCATTTGTAAGTTGAAGCATTAGTTCCCATAGGAACTAATGCAAAACTGGTTAATCCATCCTTTAACGCTAGGGGGAGAATTTTTCTTTTTTTTAAACTAAGATGACTTAGGTTAAAAAAAGGGCAGGAAAGAAGGGAGGGAGGGAACAATGAGGAAAAGAGGAAAGAAAGAAAGAAGGTCATCACTGGGGCACACAGACCTCTCAGACAAAGGTTTGTGCTTTTAAGCTTAAAAAAGAGAGAAGACAGATAAAGGGGAGACAAGGGGGGGAGAGACTTGAGTCTAAACTTTATTTTAGAGCAAACCAGCCAGCACAACCCCTCACAGAATATTTTATGATTTTAAGAAAAAAAGGCTTTGAAGTCTAAACTCCATTTTACAGCCTGCCTTCATCAACAGCCAGCACAGCCACTCACAGAATATTTTCTGATCTTAAAACAGAGAGACTTTGGAGCCACATTTTAAACCCACACATTTTAAAACAAAAGAGAGGTCACAGTACACAAACCCTAGAAGCCACAGAATGCAAAAATAAATAAATAAACTTTACATTTTAAAATTACTGTACAATTTAATTTTCACATTTAATTTTAATTTAATATTACAGTCTACTTTTCACATTTTAAATCCACACTGCAAGACCCATCAGAGCACAGAACATAACCCCCACCTAGCCCTACCCCCCCAAGCTGCAAAAAAACCTGTACAGTAAATACAGTGTACTCACCCAGAACAGGCACTCTGTTTTAAAAGAGAAAGCCAAAAAATCCAAAAATAAAAAAAAGCCAAAAAAAGTACCAGGCAGTCCAAAGTCTCTCTCCGCATCCACTCACTTAACTGCTGGGACGAGCAAAGTAGCAGACAAGCAGCCTCTTCGCTGGCCAACGGTTAACTGAAAGTTCAAATTTTGCGCTTTCCCTAACCCTCCCCCTGTGTTTTTCTGTTCGTAAGTCAAAGCTCCGTTCGCAAGTCGAAGCAAAATTTTGCGAGCGGAGCTGTTCGTAAGTTGAAATGTTCATAAGTAGGGACGTTCGTAAGTCGAGGCACCACTGTATTATGAACAAGTCTGCTCTGAGGCTCACCATTGAAATTTAAGACATGACACACAAGGTGGGGAGAGGGAGGGGAAGGGCCGTGGCAGTTTTTCTGGCAACCAATTGAATGGAAGTAGTTCAAGCAGCCTGTTAGACTGTTGTGGATCAAAGCAGAATGGCCCTCCTTTTCTCCTCTCTTTTTGTTCCCACGGTTGGAATGGCAGTTGCTGGGTGACAATTGAGGAAGAGCCATCTCCTAAATTATCCCCTATGTTTCCAATGTTCAGGCATGAGTTACATTGCTTATGTAGTAAAAATGGCATCAGCAGGATACAAGAGGGTAGGTATCTACATACTCAAGAGAACTGTAAAGTTTGTAAAAGCACCAACCCCGACCCTTGAGGATCCCAAACCAACCACCCCCAAACATCTAAAGACTCCAAATTTATCCCATTGTGGACTGAGCTTGCTGCATGTTGGAATGCTGTCTGACAATTGTGGAGGGAGAGGAGAATAATATACTAGATGGGGGTGGGGGGATGGAACCGAGTATTGTAGAAGGCTAACTGAAACCAACAGACAAATGCCACACTTCACTTTGTTACTCGAATGTGTTTTTCAGGTTCTCTACTGCAGTTCATCGATATGTTTCCTGAACAAACTGCCCAGCAGGACTTTTGGGCTTCATATTTATTTTCAAACCATATAAAAAGTGCATAGCATATGTGATATACACAGTAGCATGACCTTGATAAAACTTCTGTAATGGTAGAAACTAGACTGGAATAATTTGATTCTGTTTTTTTCTTAGGGTAGAGACCGTGATGGGTCTCCCTCTGATTTCTGCTGGGAGTTTTGGGTTGTCTTGTGACTTTAAAGAAAACCTGTCCAGGATGCTGACACCAGCCAGGAAATTGAGTTACTTCTTGGTGGATTTCTGGAGATATTCTAGATTGCCATTCAAAAACACACATTGGGACTCGTCTTACATCTATAAGAAGAATAACAATACAGAAGACTGCTTTTGGTAGGAAACTTCCTAGTGTAAGATTTTCATTCTTTTTGAAATGCATTGTGTTTGCGTGTATGAGATTTAAATCACATGTTAGTAGTATCAGTGCAAGGGACTAGTTTAAATCTTACAAGTATAGTTCATTCGAGTAGATTTCACATAAGAGCTTTCTGGTGGAGATTTTTCAAGAAAAAGTCATTTTAATTAATTCCAGTTTAATTCCAGTTTTTGCCAGAATTGTTCATTCAAACAAATAGAAATGTAAGAGCATGTGTGTATACAAGGTAGGGGTTCTAATTTATTTTTGGTTTTGGTGCAACTTCTGTGCCTTAAACACAGAGCTGGGTCAGTGTCAACAGATCCAGAACAACCAACACGAATAGGTTTGACTATTGCTAATTGAAATGTTTAGTGGAAAAGACATGAAAAAATGAGGCTATGTCTGTTGGCTTGAGGCTGATTGACCTGTTTGGAGACTTTTAAAAATTATTATTATATAACAGACAAACAACACATACAAAGCATGCACACATGGAAGTGTTTATCATACTACAATATCTAATATGTAATCTTGACTGCATAACTGCATTACAGTACTAAAATCTTTAACTTATGTTATATTCTCTACTCATGTTTATTTTTGGGCTCAATCAAAAGACATTTTTCAGTCCCCCCCCCTCCAAACAAGACAGGTTCTTATATTAATTTTTGCAAAAACACATTAGGTCTTATTTTCAGAGGATGTCTTATTTTTTCATGTACGACAATCTACATTTATTCAAATACAGTCCTGTCATCATCTTCTGGTTTCTGCACAGTAGTGGAGGGGGGGGGTTCACTCAACTGGGGCTTATTTTTGGGGTAGGGCTTATATTACGAGCATCCTGAAAAATCATACTAGGGCTTATTTTCAGGTTACATCTTATTTTCAGGGAAACAGGGTAAATTATAGCCAAGATTTTGTACCCCTTCTATCATCAAAAGAAACATGTTGACGAGAACAAGGGAAGCAATCTTTGCTTTGTCAAACTTCACCTGGAATACTGAGTGCACCAAGGTTTAAAGAGAATATCCAGAGGAGAGTTAAGGTGGTAAAATGTCTGGAAAACAAACTCTTATAAGGAACAGTTGAGGAGATGAGAATTTTTAGCTTGGAAAATAGATGGCAAAGACATGATATTATGAACCATTTTAAGTATCTGATGGGCCGTCACATGGAAGATGGAGCAAGCCTGTTTTCTGCAACTCCAGAGGGTAGGACCTAAATAAAGGATTCAGGTTACAACAAAGATGATTTCAGCTAAACATCAGACAAGGAGGCAGGGCAGGGAAGCCTGCAGTGCTGCCTCTTAGTGGGGCGGGGTGCTGGAGGAGGCAGAGGAGGGAAGTGTGTGCTGTGTTTGGTGAGTAGACAATTGCACTGAGGAGGTGAGGGAGGGAAGCATGCTCAGCTGAGGAATAGGCCAGTGTGCAAAGGAGATGGGAGAGGGGAGTGTGTGGTGCTCATGGAATACCTGTGCGAACACTGCGGTGAACTGTGCTGAATTGCTGAACTGTGGTTAATGCCCACCTCTAATTATAAACATTAGAAAGAACTTACTAAGAGCTGCTTGACAATGAAATAGATTACTTCAGAAAATGGTAGACTTTCCTTCATTGGAGAATTTCAAATAGATGTTTGGTGGCCAGGTGTCAAGAATTATACGGCTGTGAATTTCCTGCTTCATTCAGGGACTGCTTTTGATTACCCTTTGACTTCTTCCAGATCTGCAATTCTGATTTTATGAAAACATTGTATTTTTTTTCATGGCAAACTACAGGGGCCCTGTGCCCTATTTAAAAGGTGAATTTCTGTTCATAGAGGCTCTTGGGAGCTGGAATTCACTTTTTTATCTAGGAGGAAACCATTTTTGGGTGAGATGGATATGTCTGATGAAGTTGAGGGCCACATATACAGCTTTGCAGGGCTGTATGGGACCCCAGGGCTGCACTTTGCACATCCCTATTATAACACCTGCTCCATTTACAGAAATTTAACCACCACTCTCAAAAGCCTCATTAACTGTATCTCTGCATGTCAGGCAGCTGCTAGAGATGTAGACCCTTGCTAATAAATTCAAGTAAAAACTGAAATGTCACTGTGAAGTAAAGATAGAGATGAACAACGGGAAAGGAGGAGAACCAGTAGTGGTTTGGGAGAAGGAGAAAAGAGATGAATGAGGATCACAGATTTTCCAGTTACCCTGGAAGGAGGAGATAGGAAAAGGAGAACGCACTTAGGTCAGACAAGGAAAGAGTGAATCAGAAATAAAGACAGAATCAAAGTTATTGCCATACTTTTTAGAATGGACAGTGGTGGTCTCTCCATGCAGCCAAGATCCCTGGAAGAAGGTGGTTTATCCAGAACCTATGCCCACCAGTTGCAAGGTAGAAGGAGAATGGGCTTGCCACCCATATTGTGGGACAATCTGTGCAGTTCGGAGCGCCCCGTTGAGAAAACCAACTGACCAGGAGCGATTTGGACCAGCCTCCCGGTAACAGAAGAAAAGTTAAACCACAAATTTATGTTATCTTGGACTGAGTCCCCATTTAATGTTGGCACTGTTGGCCCTATTGAAGTAGTTGTGGACTCTCCTTTGTTAACATTAATAAAGCACTGAATGAGAGAAATAAGACTCCGTTGGTTATTTCTGTCAAAAAGGAGCAACTGCCTGATCTTTTCAGTGAACCCAATCGCAGTCACTTACTCTTAAGTTACTTTTTTTAAAAAATAGGGGTTTTATGACCTTAAATAGGCCATGGAGAACCACATTTAAGTGACAAATCATGCTCCAAGACCATTTTTTCCAGCAGTCGGTTTTTGGGGGCTTGAAGATGGCTTGCTGAAGTCCAAGAAAGGGAGAAACGGCACTGGATTGGCCACTTGTATTGCAACCTGAGAGACTTTTTGTGAGCCAGAATGCTAGCAGCCTCACCCAAGATCTCTTGAGTAACATGTCTGTCAGAAAAGCAGAATATACATTTAATAAAGAAACATGACATTTAGCTCAAATATAGCAGATCTGTAACAAGTACTTCCTGTACCAATTCCAGGTATATGAATGCCCTAGAGGCTCCAGTTACATACTTCTCAAACAGAATGAAATTCAAGGAGATCCTGAGGAGCCCAGAACAATTGCTGAATATTGTGAGGAATCCAAATAGGAAAAGTAATGGTAAGGAGGGATGGAAAAATGCTTTCCTCTGATATCCATGTAGCTAGGCTAGGTTTGCACAATATTAATAATGAAGATCTCTGGGAGAGAATTATATTAAAGGGAGAATAATGATTTGGGTACTTGGCTGTAAAGCCAGAGGTCAGGAGTTCATTCTTAACTTTGCCTCCTGGGGGAAGAGCCAGCCTGTATAGCCTTGGACAGGCTGCACAATCCCAGTGTGTCATCAGAAGAAGACAATAGAAAACCACTTCTGAGTATTATCCAACTAGATAATTCTGGAAAGAGTTCCCATAAGTTGGAATCGAACTGGTGGCATGTATTATTATAGTAAGGGAAGGAGTGGGTGAAATAATTCATATGATGGTGTTTTAAAATACATCTGAAGCTCAACAGTGTTAGTGGAAGTGTTGCCTGTTCCATACCCCATGAAATGGGTATTAATACTCAAGGCACCACCATCTAGGAAAAGTTAGGGACTCTCATACTAAAGACCCCCCCCCACGTGTCCCCCATTTTCACAGGTTCGGCCATGTGTTCTGATTTTCTGTACTAGATTTATTGTATGAATAGCAAAGTTATAGCAAATTTAAACTTCTGTCTTAATATAACAAGGATATAGTAATACTGCTCTTCTTGCTTATGTTGGGGCTTGGCCCAATCTCAGAGCAATTCTACTAAGTAAAACATGGGCTGGTTTAGCAAAATACTACCAGAAGGTCAAGAAAACTATATGTCTTCTATGCTGTACCTCCGTTACAAGATTGTATAATTATCCTCTCAATTAATGCCTTCATCATTATTAGGACTGCTGTTGCAAAGAAGCAGGATCATAAGTGCCAATGCAGGCGAGTAAGATTTGAAAAGAGGGCATTGTAATGATGGAAAAAAGAACTAGAAGCCTGAGGAAAAGGTTTATATTTATCCACTTAAAGCCTCAGATAGCTTTCAAAAAAGATAAGTCAGATGCCATTTTTACTTTCAGGGCAGTGCTGGATCTGCCTGTCTAAAGCTGCATTCATGTAGAATAACTGATACATACAAATAAAAAAGTATGAAGACCACAACTTTCTTTATATTATTTTCTATGTTTCCCTGTTGGTGGTCATAATTGTGGACAATTGTCCCTTTCCTCTGTGCCTTTTAAAACAGTTTCCCTGTTTATTTTGTTTTTGCATGTTACAAAGCAGAGATGCTTTTCTCTGGTTTGAAAAATATTTTTAAAAATAAAATGGCAAACTAAAATAGACGACACAGTCCCCTAGTAATTCTCATGCCTCTGCATGATCCAACTTAAAGCCTTCATCTACTGACATTTTTTTATTCCTCCGTGCTGCTATTACTTCTTCTGATGTTCTAAAGCTAGTATTTTCATTATTTCCTGTATTGCTTTTGTTTACAGTGATCATTGTATGTGGTACCCCAAATGATATCTACACAGCCCTAGGAAATGAAAAGGTGGATGAGGATATAGTCTTTATCCTGATAGATCTTCACGGGTAAAAAATTTGCATGATACTAGGGGAAAATCAAATTATTAAAAAGATATGTCTTTTTCCTGGAGTTAGATGTAATGTTGTCAGCTTCTAACTATTTTAATATATGGTTAATGAAGTATAATTCAATAGTATGTTGTTGTTGTTGTTGTTGTTCTTGGAAGTAATAGTAGCAGGTTAAATATACTGGACATTCTTCTTTTTGACCAGAGCCTTCCAGTCAACTGTCAAAAAATAGATTCAAAAATTAGATTGGATTATAGTCTGTTGCTTTCTGTAGAACAGTATCTAAGACTGATTCGATAATATTTTGAATGAAAAAGCAGCAATAACAGCTGTTTTTTATAAATAATTGGAAGTAATTTCTTTTTAAAAAGGAAACACAGCTTTCCTTGTCATTAGACAGAGTGACCTGATTTTAGATGAAATGGCAGCAGATTATAAGATATTTAATTGATTATTGTGTATTCCCTCCCCCCGCTACAATGGAGACATTTGTGGGATTTTTTTTCTTCTGATGCCAACATATACTATCAGGCATTGGTTGTTATAGCCAATAATTTGAGGATGAACTGCCATCTCTCCTTCAGGTAGAAAAATTATTTTGACTGGTTACATAAAATGATAAATATCAACCAGTTTTCAGTAATAATGGGTGGAATCCAGTAATAGGTCACAACTAGAGTAGGCCCATTGAATAACTACAGCTTTGATGAGTCAACAGCCTCTGTAAATTCCATAATCTTAATGAGCCTACTACTGTAGATGCAATTTAGTACTGGATTAGGCAATATCAATAACATAAAAATACATTTCACGATATAATAGCAACTTTACAATAATATTTTAGTAATAATTCACTAAAAACAGATCAGGTGAAAACCTCTTATAAATATCTAAAGACACAAAATACAGTAAGAATTCAGAAATTGGAGTTTTCAAAAATCCATCAAAGTGGTTTAGCAAAGTATCTCATCCCCATTCTGTCTCCCCCTCACATCATCTGGTAAAATCTTACAGGCCAAAATAGGGCATTCTTAGAATCATAACCAATTTCTTAGAGTATGAACCAATTTTCTAGAAATAAATGGGATGGTACAGTCAGCATTCATTTGATTTAATACCATAAAATACAATTGTTTCATTTAAAACCTTACAGCCTTAAAAACTTGCAACATAAAAAAAAACCTTAAAGAAATTGATCTCTGAAGGAAGGTATTGAGAAGCAGGGTGGAGAAGAGGACACTCACAGGCTGAATTTGAAGTAATACATAAAAACAAAACAAAACAAAACAAAACCTCATAAATGGCAGTGTTCTATTTCCCTGAACATAACTCAGCACAATACTGTAAAAATCTGTAGTCAAAAGGCTGCCTGTTTAGGTACATTATTTTCAGTCCACAGGGGCACATTCAGAAAATATATTGCTCAGTAACTATAGAAGAGGTGTAGTGTTTCTCTCACAGAAAGCATCTGTCTAAACTATCAACAGGCTTGTATTCGCGAAGGCTTCTCTGTTTACAAAGCAAAATACTATTAGATGTGGCAGGAGGATACTCACTTAGTAATACTCTTTAATATATTCGCGGAGGCTTTCATGGCCAGGATCTAATGGTTGTTCTGGGTTTTTCGGGCTCTTTAGCTGTGTTCTGAAGGTTGTTCTTCCTGACGTTTCGCCAGTCTCTGTGACCGGCATCTTCAGAGGACAGCAACCTGTACTCTGGTGTAGTTGGCTTGGGAGTGCCAAAGCCAACTACTCGCAAGCCAACTACACCAGAGTACAGGTTGCTGTCCTCTGAAGATGCCGGCCACAGTGACTGGCGAAACGTCAGGAAGAACAACCTTCAGAACACGGCCAAAGAGCCCGAAAAACCCAGAACAACCAATACTCTTTAACATGTTGGAAAAGAAGTTCTCCTAAATTCCTGACTGCACTATTGACTATTTTGGATGTGCAGTTAACCATCCAACTGGTGGTTAGGGAATCTATCTGTCTACATATTGTTGAGGCCATCTTTCACTGGATAACCACACAGAAAAGTTCATTTCTTATGCAAAAACTGGGCAAAATATATTTTATGCAATAACTGGGTAAAAGATATTTTAACTGCTTCTATAAGAGCTACAGACTTTTTTGTAAATAAAAGCTAGGGGTCAGGTATGAGGCAGCATGTCTAAAACCCAGTTTAGATATGCCAAAACTTGCCAAAACTCAGTCTACCAGTTATTATGGAACCCTGAACATGTCACAAGCAGGACTCTTTATATGATTAGTGAGGAAGAAAAAGCAGAGAAGAGACATTTGTAAAGCAGAGGAGTATTTTGACCAGTGTAGATTTTACATGTGCATTACAAAACTAGTGTAAACAAGAGTGCATGTGTGAAATGAAGCCTTATGCATGAAATTATCTTCAGATTCAACCACTGTCAAGGTTTATGAGCTAGGGTAAATAAATCAGATTGGCCAGTAGCCAGTTCAACATTTACCGGTACATGAAGCAAATACTGCAGAAGTTGCTGTGTCAATTTGAGAAGGTATAGTTATGTGCCTGGTTGCATATGACCAGCACCTCATCAGATTATAACAGCAGTTTCCACAGCTGGAGCTCCACACATGTACAAAAACTGATGCCAGCCAAATGAACCAGACAACCACTCTTGAGGAAGAATGCAGATTAATAGCTAGGAAGATACAAAAAGATTGTAGCCTATTTATTCAGAAAAAGTTCACTGAGTAAGATTTACTTCTGAGCAGATATTTTAGGATTGCTACTGAGGAGCTGTCATTTTGCCACTTGTAGTTCACACTCTCTGTGCCCAAATCATTGTCCTTTGATGGTTTTTAAGTGCCCCAGGTACTGCCTCAGCCAACAAGTTATCTGAATCCCCTTTCACCTTTTTAATTCAAACTTATTTAAACGTGTTATATGTTTAGGTCTAAATCTATTAGTCCAAAGCAGAGTAAACTCAATTGCTGAATAGTGTATGACTCAATACTTATGTAACTTCCATTGATTCAAAGGGTCTGCTCTAGTTGGGTTTACTAATTAAATTTAAATTTATGAAGCCAAAGGCTACAAAAGAATGGTGGGGGTTTTAATAAGATAAATATCCTTCTTAGTAGTAGTCCCTTGACTAAGCAAAAGTCCAATTTGTGATTCTACTTTCAGAACATTTTAATCATAATTTATTTCTTGGCTAAATAACTTGCATTTATTGCTGATCTTACTTCTTGCTATGTTTAGGGAACTTGTGCTTTCCTTTCAGCAATATGTACTATGAAAATGCCATCTCATATGAATATATGCGACATGTCCTTGTTGTGACTCTGACTCCATCGAACTACAGCTCTGTTTCAAATTATACCGGGTTTCCTGTGGATCTTGAAAAACTCTACTTGGTAACTGTTTACTTGCTTATATGTCTTTTGCCACACTGCCCTGCTTACCAAAGTCTTTTTGGAATTATAATTAATGCAGGTGTCTCAATACATTTACACATAATTCTTCTAATGCAGTGGTTCTGATAGTAAAATATCACTAAACAACAGTGAAGGAATAGGGTAAAGTAGCTTTTCGTTGGCTTTTTTGCCAGATCTTGCTGAAAGATGCTCTGTACGTTTTCCTTTACAAGTTAACAAAAATGCAGACTTGCAGGACAAATCACAGAAGCCTATGGATCGTCATGGCTGACATTAGCCCAGTAAAGGGTTAATTACAGAATGAAACCAGATGATCATTGACAATACTTTCTAAAGTAATTTGGGTATCTAACTAGGTTTTATTTGTTGCAATAATACCAGGCAACTCCAAAGCTTATTAGTTTTCTATGAGAAATTTTTATTCCTACATAGCTTCTGTGTTCCATATTTCAAAAATAGCAAGTTCAAAATATATTGAAGATGATAATAAAGTTGTGAGGAAAAATTGTAGGCACATATACTTGAAATCCAAAAGCCTTCCACTTATGTAAAACTGTAGGCACATAACTTAAAATATATAAAGATGGAATTTAAGTTGTAGGTATGCACTGAGAAACATAACATCTGTTAAGAGTAAAGACTGTTTTGAAGGTAAAAAGAACAATGGGAATGTTTCAATACATTATAAAATTCTAATACCTTATAGCCTAATAATAAGGCATATTAGAACAGCAAAAGACAGAATATATCTCTCTTACAGTACTGAAGTTTTAAATTGTAAAAATATATGAAATTAAAAGCATTTCTTAGCTTTAAGCATATTAAGACACATAGAAAAACATTTCTAAACAGAGCTCACCCATGCTAGCTATTCTAAAATCCATTGTTTACTCTCTGGAGCTGAAACCTTATCTATTTCTTTGCATAAAATACGTATCTCTTGCAGATGCTTTTTCCTCACTGCTTCTTCTGATTACAAGCATAAGAAATCACTGTTTATTTACAGTATATTCTCAGTTTCATTTTTACCTAACTCACTATGAGGCAGTGGCTATGTCCATCTGTTAGCAACAGTTGTTTACTTTATCTGCTTCTCAGCAGATAAAGTTTAACAGTTTGGTGTCACTGAATTACTAGAACACCTGGACAGGGAAAAAGAAGGAAACAAAAAAGAAACAAGGAGGAAATTGGCAATCTCTGCTTGTTTACAGCTTATTACAGTAGCTCTTCTGAGGTTGCATCATGTGCTGGCTACAAAAAAGCTGTGTTAACAAGCTGCAAACAAAGATTTTCTATGTGGCCCATTAATTTGAATTGACCGGTGGAAACCCAAACTCTTTGGTGTGACTTCGTGCTAGTGAACGCAAGTGAATTTGTATTTCCCTAGCTGTGTAATAGCATCCTCACATAGTGATTCATATTATTTTCTGGAAGGTTCATAATGTGTTTGATGAAGTCATTTTAATCTGTTAAAACATTTCATTTACTCATGATTTTTTAAATGGGCACAGGCTTGGAGAAGCTGGCTATCACGTACATAGCTAAGTGGAATGCCTCTTTCTGCTCAGCTTCTGCACCAAGGCATGTACTTTTAAGGTTACTAATGGATCTCTGAAGTCAGGCTCTAAAGCCTCCCCAAGCCCATACTTTTGGCTCAGCGTTCCTCTATGATGTCAAAGCAGATCAATCAAATGAAAGCTGAAAGGATTAGGATCCCACAGTGAACGTAACTTTGCACACAAACAATTTGAGTATAATCTGTTGCACTGACAAGTCCTGGTTACTTCACTGGAAAAGGTAAATCTCTATCCATTGCATAGTGGGGATCAACTGTTGTTTGGCTTGTCTTTTCCCAGAACTGTTCTATGCAATAGACATGGTCTCTGAAACAAATCTTGTTCTGTTCTAATTCCTGTTTGTATTCTATCTATTAAATGGTAAGCCTTTAATTTGAACTGTGAACTTATCACAGTCATTATCAGGCAGTATATGAATGTAGAGATGGATGGATATATGATATCTGAACTGTGGAGATATCAGAAATATGTGTGGTTTGATTATGAGATTGAGCATTATTTTGTGTTCAGTTTTTAGAAGCAGGTAGATCGACATTTCTTTGAGGGACATCAAAGAGACAATATATTGTTTATTTCTTATTTGAAATAAAAGAGCCTCATGGCGCAGTGGTTAAACCGCTGTATTGCAGCCAAAACTGTGCTCACGACCTGGGGTTCAATCCCAGGTAGCCGGCTCAAAGTTGACTCAGCCTTCTATCCTTCTAAGGTTGGTAAAATGAGTACCCAGCTTGCGGGGGGGGGGCAATGTGTAGCCTGCATAATTAACTTGTAAACCACCCAGAGAGTGCTTGAAGCACTATGGGGCAGGATATAAGCAGCACGCTTTGCTTTTGCTTTGCTTTGCTTTATTTATTTTTATCCTGCATTCCTCCCCTAGTGGGGGCCTAAGGCAGTATACAAAAATGTTAAAATGAACAATTAAAACAAACCAATTAAAATTTAAAACAATAGCATACAAATATTTAAAATGTTATTTTAAAACTTATTTTTAAAAGATTTTGAAAGCTCTCCCATTTCATTTACCTCTTGATTTCCCAAAAGCCTCTCTAAAAAGATGAGTTTTCAGCTGCTGGTGGAAGGAAAGATGCTATCTGCACCTCTTGAGGAAGTTCTATACTCTGGAGGCCATTGCTGAAAATATGTGGTTGTTTCTATCGCCTGGACCTGAGCTGTAAAGGGCTATGTAAAAGGTTATGACTGGTACTTTGAACAGGGCCTGGGAAAAAAACAAGTGGCCAGTAAAGCAGTTGTAACAGGGAGATCCCAGTAACTAGCTCCAGTCAAGTGTCTGGCTGCAGCACTTTTCACCAGTTAAAGCTTTTTAGCAGTCTTCAGAGGCAACCCCACGTAGAGCACCTGCCAGTTATCCTAATGGGAGGTAATCAAAATGTGTGGTGTCCCTCAAGGAAAATACTGGGTGCAGTCTCCTACCATCTTTTGTGAGAACAAAGGTTTAAGACCTTAAGGAACTGGTTGAAAGAAGCAGAAATTCTTCATTCATAAATTATGTGCTGCAGTTTATGTTATTTCGCCTTATCATCTCTTCTAGTTACAAGATGACTTCATTGTTGGGTACCTAGATGCTGTCTTGCTCTTTGGTCATGCCTTGAAAAAACTTCTCTTTGATAAACAAGAAATTGAACCTCCTATGTTCATTGAACACTTTCGGAATGTCACTTTTCAAGGTAATTACTTACATACATATTTTAAATTATTAATGGAGTATATTGTAGGGATTAAAACAGAGTCCAGAGAGACCCTCACAAATAATGCATACCAACTGTCCTAGGAGAGGATTTCTCTAACATTTCATATTTTCTCTGCAACCTACATTTGAGCCCCTAAGCAAGTTCAAACATGTTTATGAGCAATCTAGCCTTTTTTTTTACCAGATTACTCATAAACATGTTCAAACCCACTCATAAACTCAAACATGAGCTGCAGGGGAAAAATGACATGTCACAGAAATCCTTCCCCTAATTGATGTTCTTCCCTCTCATTTTTCTAGGGTATTGCCACCAAATTCTAGGGTATTGCCACCACTAAGCAGTAGCATATTTTCTTAGAGAACATATAATACAGTATCAAGAGGTAATCCCAAATAACAGTAGATCCACAGTATCAATGTGAATTTGGAAGTCGATGTTAGAGAAATTCCAGTGATTCAGTGATCTGTTCTAGGTGGGACTAACATTAGATTTTGGACAATATGTTTGATACATTGAATAGCCATACTCTGGCTGAAATTCTCAGAATAGCAAACGAAAAGTTATAAATGAAATCAAATTTTAAAAAATTGCAAATGGAATGAAATCCACTAAAATCCAGCATGAAAATATATATAAATATGGCAGAGGTTAAAGAAATAAAAAGATGTTCAGCTGGTGCCAAAAAGAAAGCAAGGACAAAGTCAGGCCAAATTCCTTGAAGAAAGAATTCCATTGGCAGAGTGCCACTATTTCTACCCATATTATCTCAGATCATGATTTATGGGAATGGGGGACTTTGACAAAGGCCTTTATGACAATAGTAGCGATTGCCAGCCATGTTTATGCAGTTGGCCATGGTTCTTTCCTATACTCACACACCAGGCTATTCAAAGCTTTGGTAACAATCCTGTACCCATGTACCTGGGAGTAAGCCTGTGAGGGAGTTGCCTCTGGTGCCCTGAATGGGCCATCTGATTTTGCCCAGTGCCCCCTGGAAGGCCTGTCAGATGGTGAGACCACTGGTCCTCACATGGGCACCTGGACCGGTTAGCTCATCCAGGGGAAGGAGGCAGTTGGAGAGAAGGAGGTCAAGTGCCTGGGAAAGGATAAAAGGGCTGGGCTCAGTGCGCAGTTGGGGGTCATAAAGTTGAAGGGGACAGAGGGGGAGATCGAGACTGAGTCAGGGTCAGAGGAGGCAGATGCTGGATCTGGGGCAGAAAAGGGTCCTGGAGCAATGCTGTGGAACAGCCTGTCCCAGCCTAACTGATGGAGGACTTCTTTGAATATATCCCCTGGAGGGACCCCAGGGGGAATAAACTTGACAGCACTTAATTAGTATGCTGGCTAGATAGCTCAATGACTTAGGTATCTGGCTCTGAGGCCATAGGTTGGGAGTCTGATTCTCCACTCGGTCTCCTAGGAGAAGAGCCAGCTTGTATGGACTTGGGCAAGCTGCAGAGTCCTAGGATGCCCCCCAGAAGAAGGGAACGGTAAACCATTTCTGAGCACCTGAAAAGGGTCACTGTAACTCAGAATTTACTTGACAGCCTCTTGTTGTTGTTCAAGAAACTCACTGCTGCCCCCAGGCACATACTCAGTCTGAGCTTTCATGAAAATTATGATCCTCACTTCAGTGGTCTCTCCAACCAGAATATTCTAATTTATCAGCCACTTCCATGCTACCTTATGCAGATTATCATGCTTGCTGTTCATATTGCTTTATTGCAGTTTTAGGGAAATGATCAGTGTGCTACCTGTGTAACCTTCTATTTTTCTGACAGGTATTCTTGGTCCTGTAACCCTGGACGAATTTGGGGACATTGATGTTACTTTTACCATGCTGTACACATCAGCAGACAATATACCGGAAGTAAGCACACTGATGAGGCCAAACTATGTGTCTAGCATTGAAGCAAATAACATTTTTTTCTCCCAAAGTACTATTTAAACTTTATGGTATGGAGAAAATGGCTAGATACTGTAATAGGCAGCTATCGGGTAATGACTGACATCATGGCAAAAGCCCCTCTTCCATCTAACTACACAAGTGTATAACTACCAGACACTATTAATTTCTAAAAATCATATATCCCATACTCATATTTGAAAAAATTATTTGGAATCGGTGTTACTCATCTCCAGAGATCATATGTCCACCTCTGAAACTCTGAGTTGTGCAGTAAAACAGGGATCACGTAATTCATGTAATTATAGTGTGAATGATTTTTCAGAAATTATAGGCAAATACAACTTCCCGAACACAGTGTGTGTGTCTGTGTAAGGGTTGTTGTACATCGCCCCTACCATGGTTCTGAACAAAAACTGAACCTTCTGCTATAGCTAGTGCATTGAAAGTGATGCTCTCATTGTCAACTACTACAGGAGAAGACATTGAAAAAGGCTGCTGTTGTCCAGATCACACCCCATGGCTATGATCTGCTGCTAAAAACAAATCATGCAGCTAATAATAGTGTATAAAACATCACATCTGCGTTAGTCCACAAAGTGGGATATTGCTCTTATTAGCTCGCATGAGAAATGTTAACATCAGATGAAATAATGTACTTCAGATGAACAGAAACGATGTGATAAATACTCAGATGAAAAAATAATGGATTTTCCTGGTAACTGGAAAAATTTTAGAAGGCTAAGAAACTGGAGGATCTGTGTAAGCTTGGAGAAAGGACAATGACAGTTTTCTTTCCTTTCCTTAATTTTCTCATTCCAGTTTAGGACCCTCCTGCAATATGACACACATCTCAACAAGACAATATGGACGGCAGAGAAGCCACACTTTATCTGGGAAAAAAACATGCTGCCTAATGATACACCTAGCACTGGTGAGATTGGTTGCTTGGAAAGGGGTTTCCACAGAGTCTAGTGAGCCCCTGGGGCAGGAGTGGGCATTCCTTAGTGGTCCAGGTGCTGAACATACTCGTGCATGGATCTTGAAGGGCCACATCTGGTCCTGTAAGTCTAGTCTCCCGTCAAACAATTTTCTGTTTTTCAAATGTAAAAAGTCTCCTTGTGCCTTCCAGCGGCCAGTTTTTTTTTAAATTACTTAAAACGAGTTGAGAAGCCCAGGAGTCTTGCCCCCTCCAAAACATGACAAAGTTGCACCCTCCTAGAGGATTGTAATGAAACGTTTAAAATGTATTGTTTTTGTTTTAAATACATTTTGGGCGTGTGTGGTGCTGCAGAGGGCCCAGGAAGTCCTGGGGGGGCTACACTTGGGCCCTGAGAGGCTGCACGTTGCCCACTGGGTGATGATTATGTCTGCACTAGGGTCATAGTGAAAATCCATAATTTAGTTTTATTTTAACCTAATATCCCTCCCTCTCTCCCTCCCTCCCCACTAGCCTGAATGAAAGAGAAAATGTGTGCATTCAAAGAAAGGAAAGAGACACCACGTCTGCCCTCTGTCTTATTTGATCATGAGAAGGACCAGCTTAACCGTGGCGTGCACACTCTGTGCTCAATGGTCAAAAAGGAGCAGGCTGCAACAGTCACAGCATCTGGAGGTGCGGGGGGGCAATCCCATCCCCACAATGAAGAGGAAGAGGGCCTGCAAGCAGTGCCTCTGTTTCCAAAACCCCTGATTCTGAGGGTTTTTAAAGTCAGGCCTCTAGGAGGAGTGATAAAATTTTATGCTCTAGCCTTTGATCATAATGCTACAAAACAGAGTCACTGAACGAAACAGATCAGGAAAAAACCCATCACTCTTGGAGGGCACACTCTTGGTGTGTGTCCTAAGCTTGTCTTCTCTAGCTGTCTCAGTCCTCTACAGCTTTCCCCTCCTCAGACCACCTCTCACCCTCTACTCCCTAGATCTAAGTCCCCCAAATTCAATAGGATCCCCGCATCCTAGCTGACTGTTCCCCCTCTAGCCATTCCTCCTCAACACTCTTCTAAACTACAGAGCCCATTTCCTCACCGTGTCCTCTCTCTTTACTTAAACGGGCTCCCTGTAAAAGAAGGCCTGATCTTCCCTCCTTTTTTGTGTCCAGGGCAACTCCTATTTTAAAAAAGAGTGGCTGGGGGAAGCTCTGGCTTTGACAATTATCTGTGGTTAGGCATTTTGAAAATAAAGCTTGAGCTGCTGGTGGTGTTGCTCCGTTGCTGGTGCTAATGGTCAGTAGATCCTCCTCCACTTCTTTAGGGGCAGGGGCAGGGCTTCTCCAGGTGCTGCCACTGGCAGCATCTCCTCTGGGCACAACGTATACATGCCACGGCCATACCAGTCCTTCTCATTACTGGCGACAGAAGATAGGCATGAAGCAATATTGTCCTCTTTTCTTTCTTTAAAAGCGTAAACGTTATTTTTCTTTGGGATGAATGGTCTGGTATTCAGTAGAATACTGTGGGGAGAGGGCACTTTCTTTCCTGCCTCAAGCCGCAGGAAACCTTCTGCAGAGCATCCCTGAAAGTGAACAGGGCTCTGAGGGGTTGCCATTCATTTTCCTAACACTCACCAGTAGGATTTCGGCACCCTCTAAATTTTTGCACCGTGGATATAGCCCCAGTGACAATGCTGATGTTAAAGATTCCATGCTTTGAAAGAGTCTTAGCATCCCCAGACTCTATTATCAGGAACTTTATGCAGGTACTTTGTCATCCATTTATCCATTTTCACCAATTCCTTCTTTATCCTCCCAGGGTCAGCAAAAAAAGAGTATAGAGCACTTACTGTATGAACAGCTGTTGTGGAAACATTGTAGTTGCCTGTAGGAAGCAACCTGAGAAATATTGTTTGGAACGTTAGAGTTCTTATGGCCAAATATTATCCTTCCTCATAATACAGAGTTCTTTAGTCTCATTATAAAATATTAGATGATTATAAAATAAAATGATCATATTATTATCTCTTGGTACTGTTCTTTGGGTTTAACCATAAAAATTTGAAATCCTCAAAATAATTAAAGATGTTTGGATGGAACTGTTAGGAAGTGGCTTTGAGTTTTCCCTTTGTATGTGTAACAGCTTTTCAGAGACTTGAAATCTGTATTGTACTGTACTATATTATACTATAATGACATGACTTCCTGTGCTATACAGGCACATTTTAGTGTCTTCCCATGGTTTCGGTTCAGATCAGTTATGTCACTTACGTATACCTATTCTGGAGCGCTAGCTGACAGTGTTGACAAATGTTGCTGGACTACAGCATGTGTTTATGGTTTGGTATGAACTACTGGTATGCTCGTACCAAACATAGTAAAACACATTGGCTTTGTCATGTCTGTATAACATTTTGAATTATTTTGCTAAAGGACTCCAGGAGAATAACAACAAAAGTGAATTATGATAGAACAAGGAGCAAAAATATGATCTGGGGATGTGTGATGTGAGGCACATATCCCTGTACTCAAATCTCCCCAAATTCTTTGCAAACTTTACTGCAAAAAGGGAGTTAAATCAACCCGCCCACCCCTTCTGTCATATACTACTCAGATTTGAAACAAGAGTATCTGTTTTCCATTCATCTAGCCTCAAATATTACTGATATTTCAGGCACCTGAATGATGGAATTAAGCTGTTAATATTCCAGTCTATTTCACTCCAGAGCAGGAAGTAATTACATTACACAATTGCTACCATACAAAATTTCACTTTCAGCATAGTCTTAGTTCTGTAATTTTAAAAATTCCCATTCCTTTTCAATGAATTTGAAAGGCACTATTCTTTAATTTACCTAGATAAATTTTAATCTGTATCCAAATTAAGTTAGGAATAAGGAAATATCTTGGTTCTCTGTGTGATTGCTCTGTTTCTCGTTAGAAAAATTGTTGCACTTATCTTTAAATTATCTGTGCAAATAAAATGAACTATAAAATATAATTTAAAAAACAAGAGCAAAAGCTGACACATATTGAGGAGACAGGGTCTTATATTTCAATACCATGTGTCAAGATTATGGCTATGTCAGAGGAGCTCACGCTAACCACTGAACCACACTGCCCAAACTTTCCTGGTGTTGGTAAATTCCAGGAGTGTCAGCTATGCTGATGGCTGGGGAAACTCTTCCTGTTCTGTACCCTTCCCAACACTTTAAGTCACTCTGACTTCTCAGTGCTCCAGAAAGTTAGTATAAAATTCACCCAGTTAAGTGTTTTAGGTTATACACCAACCCTGCCAGGTAGGAATAGCAAAATACCCATAACAATGTAAAAAGTCTAGTAGGTGATCAAGGTAAGGCCTTCTTTTCTACCATCTTTTTCTAAAATAACAAAACAGCTGTAATTTTCTAAATTTGAAACTGTTGCAAAAAAGGTAAAAAAGTATAAAGTTTCAAACAGTATCAAAAGATAGTTCCAAATGTGGTTTTAAAGTTGTGGAACAAATAAGCATTCAAAAAGATCTTGAAGCAATTCCAAAACAGTTACTATAAGAAAATAAGAACGCTAACTATCTAAAGCTAATACTCACATTCAAGCAGAATTCCAGCATGCTTCCAGAGTATGTGTAAAGTACAAAGCAGCAAGTTAGCATAGCATCCTCCCCAAAGAGACTAAATAACACTAAACAAACTCTCTTTCCATTTTTATAGTTATCATTCCACTTTTTAAACCTTTTCAGGGGATGCACCATTCAGGTATCAAATCATCTTGAACCTTCTCCATAGTAACTTCGCTATTTCCCCTTCCCTTCCCTGCAGCTGAAACCAGTTCTATTAATTGGCTTGTACCAGGAGTGAATTATAGCCCTAGAAATTCCTCTTGCTGGAGATAAGACACAGAGGGCAGAGCTTCTTAGTTAATGGGCAAATTCTTCCCCCTCCCCTGGCCTGCTCCCCTGGGCATAAGCTAAGAGGCCTGTACTGTATTTTAAAGGGCAGGTGAAACCATCATCTTCCTACTTCCCAGTTTCTTGACACATATGTAATTAATTCAAAATCTATGAAATGTGTTTTTATCCATTTTATATAAAATTTAGAAATGCAATATCATTATAAACATTTGTTTTATGCACTGTGCTGCCCAGGAAGCTGAAGATTCTCCTTTAGATACACAGCTGGAGTTATGAGCAATTAAATTAATTTTGGCCCCAACCAGGCACCTGGAAAAACGTGGGTGGAACGTAAAGCAAATTGTCACTTCACGCGATCCAAGTCTTATTGCGCTTTAAAATGGCAACCCCCACACACCATTTTAAACTGCAGTAAGGCCTCCTCTGTGGACACTTGTGGGAGCAAGAGAGTCCTCCTCCTCAGGGCTTCCTTGTCTGGCAGGCAGCTGGATGGTCCCCCTGCCATTGGCAGGCACAGAAAATGTATAACAGCAGCAGGGGAGCAGCAGCTTTGAAGGCTGGGGAAGACACAACCATGTTGCTGCCAACATGCTCCTCAGCTGCTTCAGCCACCACCATCATCCAATTTGAAACATATATATTTAAGGCATGTGGAAGCAGTTTTGCTCCAATTTGCAGATAGCCCACAGTGAGCGTTTTACTGTGGGTTATCTCTAAAGGTGCACTTCCGGCCATAGCCTCTGTCCTTCATGATAGATTTATTTGTGACCACAAGATGGCAGCAGCATATCAGGAATATAAAATATGCTGTATTGTTTCTGAATTTTGTTTCTGTCAGCATGTAATTTTGTTTAAAGTGTGCTTGGAGCCATTTAGTGTTCTGTCACTCAGCTTCAGGTGCAGGGCAGGAAAGCATCATGTAACTTGCCAAAGACATTTGCTGCTAACTGATTTATTTATTGTTGACCGAATGTCCTGCCTTCCTAGAAGATGAAGGACAAAAATAAAATAGGGTCTGGATGAAGTGGTAAATAGAGATTGTGGGCATATGCCAAAGAGAGCAAAATAAAGAATGAAGAACTTTCAAAATTGATGCGAATTATTTGAAAGTACTGTACTCAACAAGAATCATTAGGGTTATCTTATCAAGTGTTCAGTTTCTTTTCTCATTTCTCTCCACAATTTTGTGGGATTCTGAAACTTTACTAAGTGACAATGATATTTGATTTGTCTTTCTGCAATCATCGCAGGCTTCTTCTCTATTATTGAATTCACTGACTTATTTTGAAGAAGTTTAGTATGACCATACTTGGGCCCTGGATACCTGAAGGACCGCCTCCTTCCAGTTAAGATCTAACCAGGGGCCCCTTTTGAAAGAGCCGTCCCTTAAGGAGATAAGAGGGAAGGGTTGTAGACAAAGGGCCTTTTTGGCAGCTGCCCCCAGACTATGGAATGCCCTCCCGACTGAGATTCGTCTGGCGCCGACACTGATGACATTTCAGCGCCAGGTCAAAACCTTCCTGTTTCAGAAGGCTTTTAATTGAAATAATATCAGCTGTGGGTCTCATGGAAATTTTTAGAGTATATATTTTAAATTGCATTTTAATTATTTTGCCTTTTAATTGTATTTTAACTGTTGTAAGCCACCATAAGGCTTAGTCCCAGAAAATAGTGTACAGTATAAGATTGGAACCAAAGGCTGAAAACCTACGCACATTTCCTGAGAGAAAGTACAACTGAATTCAATGGGCTTACCTCTGAGTAGACATGTATAGGATTGGACTGAATAGCTCCCACCAGCCTTTTGCATATCAGGCAAAGTGCTTAAAATTCATATTGCTACTGCTCTTGTAATTCAGAACAGGCTCTGAAACAATCTGAAAGGGAATCTGCATATGGATAGCAAATATCTTTCTCCTTATCTATTTTCTCAATCTATGAGTACTCAGACAGGCAAAACAGGTGAAGTATGAGGTGTTTTTCTATGTGGATTCCTCATCATATGATGCAGATGTGCATTAAATCTGATGAGGTACTCTCCACTACATGCTGACCTTGAGATGCTCATTGCTTAATGCCTGTCATTTTTGTATTGTGTACTGCATTCTCCTGAAATTCGGTGCTTCTTTTAAATATTCTTAAGAGTGATTGACTGCCAATTTCTTACTTTCACAGGCCCACACATTCTGACTATAGCTGTTTTCACCCTCACTGGGACAGTGGTACTGGTTCTGATCATCGCTCTGCTGGTGCTGAGGTACAAACCCCTTCCTCTCTCCTTTCTGGGCACAGGTCCACCATCTTTTATAAAATTTGCACTTTGAAGCCTTCCTTCTTCAAAGGCTACTCAGCACAAACTGGATTACATAAGCACCAACATTCTTTGCTCTGCCAGCTGATCAAGTCTCCAAAGTTAGATTTGCTGCCTAATCTTGCCTTATGTATTTCACCTACCTGGGAGTAAGGTTACTCCTTCTGTCTTTGCTTCCTTCTAGTCCTTTCCTCCCACCCCCAACACACACATTCTGACATGTAGATTTCAGTAACGGGGCCTTTTAAGGACAAAGGTGGGGTACAAACAAACAAACAATTATTCTCCATAGGCTTCTTTGAGAAATGCCAATTGTCAATGTGAGTCTTCATATTAGTTTCACTGGGAGTATGATTAACATTCTTTCAGGTTAATGATAATGTTGAAATGACTCCCAATAGTTTGTTTTCAGCTTTAGTCAAACTGACATATTAAAACAAAGGTTCTCCTTGTTCATTGTGTGATAGCTAAATTCTTAAGTTCTTAATCTATCCAACAGTACTCTTCCAGATGCATGTGCTAGAATAACTGCTAGAATGATACATAATTTTTATGATATGCAGGAAGTACCGACGAGCTAATGAACTCCGACAGAAAAGATGGTCTCATATCCCACCTGAAAAGATACTGCCTTTGGAGACCAACGAGACAAATCACATCAGTCTGAAGGTAGAGGCAAGAGCCATCTATGTGGCCATTTCATTTCACCATATCTCTGGTGCTGAAACTCTTCTGTATACCATTCCTTGGGCTAAGATGATGGCCCCGAAGATGCCATCCATAAAACCACTGAGACTAAAAAGGAACACAGGAAGCTGTCTTTTATTATTATTTATTTTATTTATATCCCGCCTATCTAGTCGATAGACCACTCTAGGCGGCTTACAACGAGGGATGCAACAATAAAAACAACAAAATTACATAAAAGAAAACTTTCGACAATTGGGTTATACCTTAGGAAAGAAAAGAGGAGGGAATCAGGAATTAACTAGGGGGGAAGGCCTGCCAAAACATCAATGTTTTTAATTGCTTTTTGAAAATACCCAGCGAGGGGGCCGCGCGAATATCAGGGGGAAGGTTGTTCCAGAGTCTTACACTGAGTCAGACCATTGCTCTGTCTTGGTCAGTATTGTGAACTTTGACAAGTGCCATCACTTTAGAGGTTCAGGAAGGATTCTTTCCCAGCCCTAACTGGAGACCCCCTAGTATTACCTGGTGGTCTCCTATCCAAGTATGAAATAGACCCAATCCTACTTAACATCCAAAATCAGAAAGGACCTATTGCTTTTCAGGATGGTATAGTGGATTCCAGGTTAATATATGTACATTAACAATCTATCCATGACTGTGGTGGAGAAAGCAGTGGACTCTATTTCATTCTTTTCTTCTAGGCTTCTGTATTGTGATAGCATTACTCATCAAACACCCAGGCTTAGAACTGTGTGGGAAATGTACTTTCCAATGAAAAGTAGGCCCAGTCACACAGTCTGTGAAAGCTTGCCACAATCACATTTATTTGTTCTTGATACACCCACAAGTGTCTCTAAAGTGATGGCAGCAGCACAATTTTCTATCTGCACATTATAGATTATTAGAGGTGTAGAGTAGGAAAGGAGCCTTGCTGCTGTGGCTCTCTTTTGAAAGGTAAAATCTGGTGATATTTAAGTCTTCCACCAAAACTGTACAATAGGGGAAATCTCAAACTTTTTCCTTTAACCTCTTTGTGAGTACATGCCCACTGGAGAGCTGCTCCGTCTTCCAAAAAGGGAAAATGAAACTTCAACAGCTCTAAAATATGAGTTTGTTGCATCCCACCTATATTCATTCTACACACCCAAAAGAATGTCCAAAATTTTCTCTGTCCCTGTAGCAATGGCACTCATAACTGATGTGACATTTGGGGGAAGGTTTCAACTGATTTGCTTGGAAATGCAACACTCTCCCTCACAATGAAAGGGCTACCTTGAGAGAAATCTATGGCAGCTGAGTAACAAATATGAAATGAATATGCATTTATTGTTTACATTTTCATTTCATGCACAGAGGATTACAATGACATACAGTGGTGCCTCGCTAGACAGTTACCCTGCATGACAGTTTTTTCGCTAGACATTGGCTTTTTGTGATCGCTATGGCGATACACAAAACAGTGATTCCTATGGGGGAATTTCGCTGGACAATGTTTGGTCCCTGCTTCACAAACCGATTTTCGCTAGACAACGATTTTGACAGCTCCCTCTGCACTCACAAACAGGTGTTTTCAGGACCTAAGCTTCGCAAGGCAGCGATTTAAACAGCTGATCGGCGGTTTGCAAAGTGGCTTTCCTATGGCCAATCTTCGCTAGACAATGACGATTCGTCCCCATTGGAACACATTAAACAGGTTTCAATGCATTCCAATGGGGAAATGCTTTTCGCTAGACAATGATTTCGCTAAACAGCGATTTCAGTGGAACGGATTATCATTGTCTAGCGAGGCACCACTGTACATTATGGGAGCAAAACATTGTAGTCTGGCACCTCAATGAGCTATGGAATACGTAGGCATAACATTCTGCTTTCTGACATGCACTGGGTGGTTGGGCAGGATACAGAATTGAAGTCAGCTAATGCACTTTCATTGTTTATCAGATTGATGATGACAAAAGGCGTAACACTGCCCAGAGGCTGCGTCAAGGCAAATATGACAAGAAGGTATATTTTAATCCAACATCTCAGCTTTTTTCTCTAGAAGTGTTCTTGTGTAAGACAAATCTCTTAAGTGCCAGTCATAACTGTTACCACTTCTTTGAAAGCTTTGAGTAGATTAAGGGTGGGAAATTTTATTTTCCTCACAAGCATCTTCCTTTGACACCTTCTCAATATTGAGTAATGGATACCATGAAGCAACAGAAACAGTTTGGAAGGCCAGTAAGCTAGGTGTAGGATGAAGACTGCATGCAGCTGATTAATCAGATTTTTTTCCACATACATTTAGTTACTCCTATTCCACCTGCTCATATGTTTAGAGGATTGCATTTATTTATTTTTATTATGTAACTAATATCATTACATTAATTAAAAAACCAGCGCAATGTATTTTTTTCATTATTACCTGGGCTAAATATCAAGGAATTAATTTTTATTTCTAAAATGTAATATACTTACACAAATTTTGATGGTGTTGCATATGGACTCCTGTGGATCTGCTATTGTTTACCTCTAATTGTTCTCATTTTCTAGGTGGTCATCTTGAAGGATTTCAAATCTAGTGATGGGAATTTTTCAGAAAGACAGAAAATTGATCTAAACAAGGTAAATGCTGGACCTAAAACCTGCAGCCACTTTGAAAGGGGGGGGGGCAGTAAGTAATTACAGAGTGCTGGCTTGATAGCACAGTGAGTTGGAAATGAAGTGTTGGGTGTCTGGTTCTCCACTGTGCCTCTGTAGGAGGAAGGCACCCTGGGTGGCCTTAGGCAAGCTGCGCTGTCCCAGAAAAGTGAAAGGTAAACCACTTCTGAGTACTTTATGCTTAGAAAATCCTGAGAAGGATCACCATAAGTTGGAATTGACTTGGCAGTACAGTATTATTAAATTAATTACAGAGTACAGGATCCTTGTGTTCTTTCTTTTAGTCATCACCATATTGCAGATTTGATGCCAGAGGCAAGCTGGTAGCAAGTTAGCCTAGTTTTTAGGAATTATCCTGTTTAACAATGCAACATTTGCTATACATCACATATATTGTGAACACTCAGAATCTTCTAAAAGAACACCAGATGCTTGAACAGAGAGGTTCCAGGCGTAAGTGTACTCCTAAAACAGCTGAGTAAGTCCAGGTAGCCCAGCCAGGAAGTACCACTTATCCTTTTCCCAAGTCTGTTATAAAGAGCAATTAATTGAGAACAAACAAAACTCAGGCTAGTAATGGACTCAAGTAGCATCTCTGTGGCCTGTCACTTAATACTTGCAGATTTGCTGTTCAAGAGACCAAACTTAGGATTTTAAGAATTATTGTTTTATTATATATATAAAAAAGAATTTAGAGATATTCAGTTTGTTGCAAAAGCATAGCATCCCAGTACATTTCCATTAATCAAAGCAGTTAGAATCTTAGCAAATTCCAGCTACAAAAATAAAATAAAAAACTCTAAAAATAGCTTAAAAGGTAGGCTAGGCATAGCCCCCCTTTCTCTAATCTTACTCTGAACTACATCCTTGCATAACAGTAAAAACTAGCTTTTGGAACTCAAAACTCCATCCTAAAATCCATACTAAAAATTATTCTAAAATCCAAGCTCTCTCTCTGTTTCCATTTTCTTTCATGCTGGGACCACCCCTCTTCTCTACTGTTCTGTGAAGTTAACCAATCAATATAAAGGGATGTCTCTTCACACTCCACCTCCATTTCCCACGGGATGTGCAGGTGTTGTTGTCCTTTGTCAGGATGTTGTGTCTAGGCTCCTTATCGTCTCTGGCCAAGGCAGCTTCATGGAAAATTCCACTTCGCTCGAGGAGAAACAGCTTCTCGAAGCATCCAGTCATGCTAACACAGACCAATATGGATTCCTTCTACAACATTCCATGACTACAAATCCCATTCATAAATCACATTTTAGCCTTAATAACCTAAACCATGACATATATAGCTTTGTCTCATGGTTGAACTAGGAAGTAGTCAGAGACAGTGGCTGAGCAATGTTCCCCTATCTAGTGCAGGACATAGGAGGCCCATATGGGGTAGGGGATCAGGATTTAGTAAGATTTTCTGTACTGCTTATCCTTAGCATAATTTCAAACTTCACGCATTAATGCTTTTTCTAATATATACCTTATTTTCTACCCCAGCTTCTTCAGATTGACTATTACAACCTTACTAAGTTCTACGGAACAGTCAAGATGGATACTATGATCTACGGAGTAATTGAGTACTGTGAGAGAGGGTCACTGCGGGTAATTAGCTTTGTAACTCCCTAACTGACTGATACAGAAGAATGTCATAATAACCCATCAATGACTAGTTGGGATCAAAAGGGAAAGAAGGATAGAAAGCAATTAGCTCTTACTGAATGTAGCCAAATTCTCTGAACAAGATAATTATTTATACATATCTCAGTTTTATTTAAGAACCATGCTACGTGATCTTTTCTGGGGTCACTAGTAAAAATGCAAAGGGTTTACTTCCCTGTGATAAGAAGGATCAGGGCGGCTGAGTTCTCACACAACACATAGTACACAATAGAGTAAATACAGAGCCAGGTGTAAGACAAGAATGCTGGTGTTAGTTCAAACCATTAAAACAAAGACAAGCAAAGAAAAGCTTTGCCACATAAGGTACCCTAGATCAGAACTGAAAAAAGTTTTGCAGTATAACTCTGTGGCCATAGTGACTGGGAAATGCTGGGAACTGTAGTCTAAAAAGTGACTTTTCAAACCTGTGCCCTACACTAACAGCTAGAGGAGGATTCAGGAACATGTGGCCATCCCAGTGTTGGGCTGCACCTCCCAACAGCCATAGTCAACACAAACAATGCTGATGTTGGGCACTGAAGTCTAACAATACCTGGAAGGCGGAATGTTGCAACATATCTAAGTGGTGACTTTGCTTCATTGATGGTTAAAGCCAAACTAAGACACATTATACCAGTGTTTCCAAAGAGATTTGTTTTGGATCACAAGCAGTAAGCCTCTGAAATTTTTAAGAGGACAGAAATCTCACCTGGACCATAAGTGCTAGTGCTTCTGTCTTCTGTGTTGGGGAGATTGGTTTGTTTTGATTCTTAAGATCAGTCTGCCATATGATTGTTGAGGGCACTAAGGGACCTAAAGGGTTTGAAGGCTTTGCTTTTAATTTTCCGTATGTATGTATGTATGTATGTATGTATGTATGTATGTATGTATGTATGTATGTATGTATGTATGTATGTATGTATGTATGTATGTATGTATGTATGTATGTATGTATGTATGTAGTAAAATATTTTCCCAACAACAACAAAGTATCACCTCTGAGAACTGGGGAAAAGGGGTCTTGAGTGTTTCCCAAGAGAAGACATCTAGATCTCTACAACCTCAGAGAAAGAATTGTACTCAGCATTTTACAATGTGTGGACCTGGACAAGCACTAACTGTCCTTTGGCTATCTTTTCATTGTCTTTTCAGTGAAATTTTTGTTTAAACCAAGGTGCTGTTTTCCAATTCAAAAGGCCAAACTAGGCAAGTTGTCCTTCGTACACCTAGCTATTGTATTAATTGCTTTTTCAAAGCAAATTTCCAAGCATTGTGGGGTAGGCTGCATGCATAAGATCATGAAAATGGCAGTAGAAGGTCATTAAGTGTTTGCCCCATCTTCATTTTTATTAGCCCCCAAGAATCCTTATTATTTGTATAGGGATTTTAAAAACTCCTAACTTTCTCTTTTCCCCATATCCTGTTTTGCTTAATGTGCAGTCTAATTCGGATTTTCAGAGAACGTGCAAGCTCACTCACTGTTTTGTAATGTTTTTGTTCATGCCTGGCCCATGGATTTAAGATTTTTTTTTCTTATGAAACAACATACCTACCTTTGGGTTTTCAATTACTTTAATAACAATTCTTACCAGAGTGTCTTTGTCTTCTTTTCATCTCAGGATGTTTTAAATGATAAAATTTCCTACCCTGATGGCACCTTCATGGACTGGGAATTTAAGATTTCTGTCATGTATGATATTGCCAAGGTATGTAGATGGATGACAGTGATAAATTAAGAGAGAATACTCTTGCATTATAGCTATCCATTCCACTAACTTAGAATCTGTAACAAACAAAGAGGTGCTTCTTCCTATCATGTTGTTTTCCTTACCAGGCATTTCCAGATTAAGTCTTTATTATGAAATGGCCATGTCTCATTCATGGAATTTTGAATATGTTCCAGATTTTTTTTTATTTTTAATCTCCTGTTCCGCCACCGTTTTTCTTTTCTTGAAAAAACTGTTAAGGAGGAAAAAAGACACACTATCTACATAATTATTTTTAACCAGCAGTGCTAGCAACCTTCCATTTGAAAGCTCCCCCACCTTGGGATTTTCTACATCTTTTCTTCATATAAAGTGCATAGGGTCAGTCCCAGATATTTTGCAGTGTGAGGCAGAGTAGCAAGTGACAGCATTCTCCTTAAAGTCATAATGGAACACCCAAAGCCATCCCAATTATCCCCACACCTCAGAAAATTAAAAAAATAATAATTTAAAAACCCTCAAGCAAACTCTCTTCCTGGCAACAAAAATATGATAACAGTCAATTCATAATTAATGATTTGCTTCCTTCTCGTCATACTCAATGTGCTGCCTCATGTTGCCTAATGAATGGGGTAGGACCAGGACTTGATAGAGTAAAATACCAGTACAAGTGGTGCCCCGCATAATGATGTTAATCCGTTCCAGATAAATCGTCACTATCCGGAAACGTCACTATACAGGGCAAAAAACCCCATAGGAACGCATTGAAACCCCTTCAATGCGTTCCTATGGGGGATAAACTCACTGTTATGCGAAGATCTTCCAGCCGGCCGCCATTTTTGCTGCCTCAGTAAGCGAGGAATCGGCGCGAAAACACTGCGGGCAGCCATTTTGTTGACCCGGCGGCCATTTTGGAACTGCCGATTAGCTGTTTTAAAACATAGCAATGCGAAGATCGGTAAGCGGAACGCTTACTGATCATCGCAATGCGATGTTTTCCCTCTTTAAACATCGCAATGCGATCGCTTTTGCGATCGAAAACTCCACATCGCTATGTGGATTCGTCGTTAAACGGGGCGCTCATTATGCGAGACACCACTATAATGGAATATTCTGCCTGATCTTGTGCTGCAAGGTCTCTGGCTCCTAGCAGTATGGAACAGCATCTGTTGCTAACCTCTCATGACTGTGAGTCAGGCCTTCCATTCATTGCCTGAATTTGAGCCAAAGGTTGGGCCTGGAAGAAGCAAGCATTTCTGCCTGCACTACCTTTATATTAGTCTCTTTCAGTGCAGCTATTTGACATCTCAGTTTGAGGTCAACCACCTGGTCTCCCAAGTTTTGCTAAAGCTTGACTATGTTGGCTGAAACAAACATCGTGAGAAACATGGCAAGCAGCAGCAGCAGCAGCAGCAGCAGCAGCAGCAGCAGCAGCAGCAGCAGCAGCAGCAGCAGCAGCAGCAGCAGCAGCAGCAGCAGCAGCAGCAGCAGCAGCAGCAGCAGCAGCAGCAGCAGCAGCAGCAGCAGCAGCAGCAGCAGCAGCAGCAGCAGCAGCAGCAGCAGCAGCAGCAGCAGCAGCAGCAGCAGCAGCAGCAGCAGCAGCAGCAGCAGCAGCAGCAGCAGCACAAAGAAGGCTTTTATTTTCCTGCCTATGGCTGCAGTGGAAATTGGCTTGGGACTTTTCTTGCAGAAGAGAAGCTTCTGTAATTCAAATAGCATTCTGACCTGTGCAGGTCATACTATATTTGCATTATAGAGTGATATAAGCAAAAAACTTTAAACTTCAGGGAGGTAGGATAATCTTACTGCTTGCTCTCAACCTAGCAAATGAGCAAAGAATCCTCCATGCCTAATCTAGAAGATGGCTTTGTTTCAAATGAACTCTTATTTTAAATGTCTTCCTGTGTGGGTGGATGATTTAATCCATGCTGTTTAGCTTTCTCAGCATGTTTCAAGTGCCAGAAGAAAAGGTGTGTCAGGAAAAACAAGAGGGTGTGAGTAATAAGTCAAAGTATTCTGCCCCTAATTTACATTTCCAACTAAATAATAGGTCTTTTGCTTTATGTTCCTATTTTCTGATCCATTGGCCTAATTTTGTTTTTCCTCTTTCACTTCTATGAAATGGAGGCCTGATTTGCTTGAGAAGAATTGCACAGCTTCTAAATAGGGTTTAGAAACAAGAAGGGAAATAAATGGAAACACTACTGATTCTGTGGTGGCCTGACTGATCAGTTGCTTTAGGTATCTTCTCTTCCCCTTTAATTTGATGGAAATTGAGAGTACTAAAAATGTTAGGTGAATCTTGTACTTTTTGTTTAACCTTGCTGTCCACAGCCTTAAATCAAGGCATCTTTACCCCAGTCTTTACTTTGGAAGACTCCCGGAGGAGCTTACAATTCCTGACAAGAGCATTAGGAAAGAAAAGGAATTACATAAAAGGAAAGGGTGAAGGCAAACACGTAAACTCAAGGAGATTAGATAGATAGATAGATAGATAGATAGATAGATAGATAGATAGATAGATAGATAGATAGATAGATAGATAGGTAGATAGGTAGATAGGTAGATAGGTAGATAGGTAGATAGGTAGATAGGTAAATAAGTAAATAAGTAAATAAGTAAATAAATAAAATCAAATACATCGCGGCATAGATCAGCCATAAGATGTAATACGATATCATTCTTAAACCTTGGTATTGATCCCGAGTTTTCACAGTCCCATGCCATAAATAACCACCAAACGTTACCTCCTTGTGTGAGGTAACGTTTGGTGGTAATCCAGTGATGGTATCAGACTTTATGGGCATCGTAGAAATGCATTTCCTTCCTGATAGGGTGATAAGACTGGAGGAGCAAACTGTGTAGTAGTCTGGTTCGCTGGTTAATTTATCGAATCTAAGCTGCGGTACAGCTTTCTTAGGATCAACAAGAGGGACTATGGAAGAAGGAGGTATAATTAACAATATTTTGATGGGAATGACAGGGATGAGGGAGCAGAATGAAAGTGGCAAGACTGAGACATTTTGTTCCATTCTGCAGTTCTCCTGGGATTGCAGGACTCATGGACAAGCTGTTTCTATAAATTGTAAAAGCAACAAAGTGAACGGAAATGCTGTTCCTACTTGCCTTTGAAATCATTTGGTTGGTTGCTTATTGTTGCCTAAGCCAAATCAAATTTTTGTAAGTTCTTAATTATAAGAATGAGTCATCTCTTGTCCTCTGAACTAATGGCCATTCCTCTTCTGATTAAATTCAAAATTGCCCCCAGATATTGATTTAGTGTTGCATTATATCCAACCAGGCCTCTCTCTGTAAAAACTCCTACAGGTTTACTTCACTAAAACTGTTCCACACTTTATGTATTTTATCTTGTTTACTTCTTTGGCTTTATGAAAAATTTTATATAATTTTTAAATTAATTCATTAAAATCCTCATACTTAGCAAATATCTTAAATCTTGGTACCTCTTGGGTAATAACAGAACAAATTATGTAACTTTGTGAGTCACATAATATTTTGCACTCAATGTGCAATTGTAAAGTTGTATGAGACTTTGTCTGATTAACTCTGGGAAACTTCATAATAGGATAGGATAGGATGTCTCCATTCTCTTTCTCTTTCTTTATTAAAAACAGGCCCTACATGGTGAATGTGACAGTGGTAATCATTTTAAAATGTAATATCAGTTTAAAAATGTGTGTACGTGGCATGTCTGAATTTTGATTACACCATGTCAAAGAGCAACTGTGCTTATACAACAAAAAGCTGCAGAAGAATTGTGATAAATATTCCAGCAATATTTTCCCATCAAAATTAAATTATGTAGATATACCCTTTGTCCAAAGGGGATGCGGGTGGTGTTGCAGGTTAAACTGCTGAGCTACCGGACTGTTGATTGAGAAGTTGGCAGTTCAAATCCACGTGATGGGGTGAGCTCCCATTGCTTGTCCCAGCTCCTGCCAACCTAGCAGTTCGAAAGCATCCAAATGTGAGTAGATGATTACGGACCACCTTGGTGGGAAGGTAACAGCGTTCTGTGTCTAGTCATGCCAGCCACATGACCACAAAAAGTGTGTACGGACAAATGCCAGCTCTTTGGCTTACAAATGGCAATGAGCACCGGCCTCTAGATTTGGCTATGACTGGAGTTAATTGTCAAGGGGAACCTTTTCCTTTACCCTTTGTTCATGACAATGTGTTACAGTATACATGTTTAGGCCTCTGAAAGTATGAGAACATCTTATTTGCTGTAGGAACCTGAGCTCACTGATCTTTTAAATTGTAGTAACACAAAATGCAAAGAATCCCAGTTCAGTTTCATAAGTCTGGGAATATGACTGCAACTCATGAAGATAAACTTTGGAGGAACTTTGATGTATGTGGCATGTTGAAACAGCCAACTCTTGCCAGTGATGTTAACAATGGAATTATGAAGGCTCTTTTTTGTTATTTTCTTCATGTCATAGGGAATGTCCTACCTACATTCAAGCAAAACAGAAGTCCATGGGCGTCTAAAATCTACCAATTGTGTTGTGGACAACCGCATGGTAGTAAAGATCACTGATTTTGGTTGCATTTCTATTCTGCCACCAAAGAAAGGTACATTATATTTAGAAATGAATCTGCTCTGGAATTTCCGGTCTCACTATTTGTAGGTCATTGTTATGTACCATTAACTCAGAACCAACTTATAGTGACCCTAATAGGGCTTTCAAAGCAAGGGAGTTTAAGGAGTGAGTTTACCAGTTCCACACCTCCAGTGAGTTTCCATGGCTGAGTGGGAATTCGAATCCTGATCTCCAGAGTCCTTGTCCATCATTCTGTCTACTACACCACACTAGGTATTCCAATTGCAGGCTGACTGCATCTTGTAAAAGAATAGTCCTAAGTGCAAAACTAATATTCTGTCAAGCTTCAGTTCCTTCTAGTATGGCACCATATTTGTGACATGATTATAAATAATTTTTCCAACAAACTCCATCAAGCCACACAACATCCTTATTTGAAATCAGTACTATACTAAAGGACTATATGGTAATTTAGTGGGATTCCTGATGCCACTTGCATGAGAACCAGAAATGTGTTGACAAGAAGATACTTCCATGCTGGTGTTCCTTCTTAATGAAATATAAAATATCTCTTGTCCACTTCATATTTTTGCTAGAATTAAGTGGTTGCAGATGTAGTCCATATAGAAGTGTTGTTAGTGTTTTGTTTAACAGCCACTGCTTTTCATAACATATGGAATGTTATCTTTGGGAGAGAGTTTACTTCTCAGAACAGGGCATGGAAGCACATAGTATCTAATACAATTTGTATATTCTGTTCAAGTATTTTCTAAAAGTCGCCTACATATATAAAGCATACAATATTGGCTAGGGAAGAAAAGAATAAGAAAAGCATGAAAAGTCAAGTGGCTGCAATTTCTACAGAAAAAGAACAACCAGTAAAAAGAGTCATAGTGTTGGAGAAGTGAAATCATGGGGTGAAAACTCTGGAGAAAGAATGCAATTGATCATACAATATACTAAAGACTAACCTTTGGCAGATATTGTACTAGCATTCTACCAGACAATCTATTATGCTTCCATTAATAACCATTGAATGCTGATCTGTTAATTAAATGAGATTTTGTACTTTAATTTCTTTACTATTAATTACATTTCTGTGTCCTTCAATTTATTTTGACTAGCTTTTTTGCCATTTGTGCTAATTAATCAGGTCTGATTCTACTTATTGCCCTTAGCTACTACCGATCAATTGCTCTCGTGAACAATAAGTGATTCTGCTATGAACAATGGGCAACTATGCAGATAGCCCGGGGCTGGGCAGACTTCAGGCATGTAGGATCTCCTTTATTTTTAATAGAACCCAGTCCACCAGTTGGCATAATTAGGGATTGACTCACATGAAGAGAACTTAATTGCTTGTTGCCAAAAATAACTCTGGGAATGACTTCTATTGGGGATCCTGTTTCCTCCTGTTTCAAGCACCAAGTCCTTCCTTCCAGAGGTCATCTCTAAACTCCACTGTATATGTTCGAAGTGAAGAACAGTCTCTAAAGTTATTTATTTATTTAATTTATACATAATCTTTCTCCCTTGCAGAACTCAAGGTGGCACACATTTCAAAAACACAATTAAAAAAATAAAGGCCAAAATCTTATTGTGTTGATTCCCCTTGTGCAGAGTAAATGATTATTATCAGCAGAAGAATTCTGCTGATTTAAAACTTCATTTTTTATTTTCAGGGCGCACATCACTTTATTGCATTTCATGTGAGCTATGGGCACTCCAAAATTAAAAAGAAATGTCTAATTTAGACATCATGATTATCACATCATTCCCATTGCATCAGCAGAGCTGTGCAACAAGATTTTAGTATCAAAACAACATTTAACAAATTATCACATTAAAAC